GACACCGTGCGACGTGAGATAAGCCCCAAGAAAGACAAACACTGATTCTGCTTCTATGCGACATCTCCAAGGCCGAGCTTAGCCACAGGAAGAGAGGAAGCTGAAAAGGGATGCAGCCTGGAGGGTGTAGAAAGATGACAGTGACATGAGGTGACAGGCTCTAGAAATGTTCTGCCATAACGCCCATATCTAAGAGCAACACAACATACCTACATACTATGTACCGCGTATTAGGTGTTCTTCCCACAACATTAAAAAGGGCTTATTTGATGTTGGTTCCAAATTAGTAATAGCGCACAAGGTCATGAGACTTAGGATGAAAACTTATGTTAAATCTAAAAAAGTACCATAACTTGGATTAAATATTAATAAACATTATAAAAAAAAGAGTGTAATACTGCTTATGAGGGGCTAGGAAGAGTGGGGGTATAGGAGGAGGAATAATAGTTACACTTGAAGAAGTTCTAGTGTTCCAAGCACAGCAGGTTACAGTAATGTATTACAAAGTTGTCAGGACTGAGAAGAGAGGAGTTCAAGGGCTCCAAACAGAAAGACAGTACAAGATGAAGATACTAGTTACCCTGTGTAACATTTCACCGTAACACAACGCATACATGGATGGAATTATATGCAACTCATAAAACATACAATTAAATGAAAAATTTAAACAATGCTCTTTATTCAAATAAAGAATATGTGAGCAGAAGAAAATAAAATTGCATGAAGACAAGCTACTAAATGGAATACTGGCAAGCTATACACTAAGTAAAGGACTTGTTCTACAGACCACATATTAAACTTTTGTAACTTAATAGTAAGTAATATGTAATCTAATTTTAAAATTAGAAAAGAGTCTGTGAAGCAATTTCTCCAAAGAAGAAATACAAGTGGTCAATAATCATGACAAATGTTCAACATCTCTATTGAGATATCACTTCATATCCATTAGATGTTGTAATTAAAGGACAGATAATGGAAGTTTTGGCAAGGATGTAAAGATATCAGAACCTTCACACATTGTTGTTGCAAATAAACAATGATGCGGTGCTTTGCAAACAGTTTGACAATTCTTCAAAAATTTAAACAAAGTTGTCAGAGATCAGTAATTCTATTTCGATGTATTTAAGAAATGAAAATGTATAAGAACTCTGTATAGGAAACATCCACAGAATTATTATTCATCATATTAGAAAGTTTTAAATGCTCATCCACTGCTGGACGGGTGAACAGAATATGGTTAATCTAAAGAATTAAAATTGTTTGGTAATAACAGATTAAATTATTGATGCATATTGCAAAAATCAATAAATCTTCTACACACACAGGCCATGAAGCCTGTGATTGCATTCACATGGAACGTTCAGAATAGAGAACTCTACAAAGACAAGAAATGGACTGGCTGCCCAGAGTGTGGGCAGGAGACATGCTAGCGGAGACAGAGTTTCTTTCTGGGGTGATAAAATACACTACAACTGTAGTTGTACTTGTACAACTCTGAATATATTATAAAACACTGTACATTTTAAATGGTTAAATTTCAGGGTATGTGACTTACAACCAAATAAAACTGTTTTTTTTTTTAAATTAAAAGTACTAATCCATAAGCTCTTTAAAGTACTATAAACAAAATCTATGAAAAGTCCTACATAGTTCTTTAAAAGTCCAGATTAGTCAGAACCATGTTGTGTCTGTGCTAGCCAGAGAAGGTACAGTACATATTTAACAGAGCAGAAGAAAAACAGAGGGGAAGGGGGGAAGACAGATCTAGCCCTGACGTGGAAAGGAGAATAGCAAACAGGCGGAGTGAGAAAAGACAGGGTGGCTAGTTAGACTCAGGGAGGTTGAAGAGACAGGCCACATTGGGCCGGACTGGGCAGATGGGTGAAGGACTCAGGTCTTGTTCGTTTCAGTCACACGACGGCTTGAAATGCACAGTGTTCTTCAAAGACCATGAATGGATTCAGCATTCGGGGAGAGGAATGGCTGAGCAAGCCTATTTATATTCCAGTTGTAACAGACATGCAACAAAACCCCACAGATTATTGTCAATAAAACTGCCGGTTTTTTAGGAGAAAACAAATGGAATTTTCCTCTGTAATAAATAATGAAAATCCCAACAGGTAAAATCCTATGGACCTAAAAATTCTTAAGAATTCTTAATAATAGAATTTCTTAAGAATTCTTAATAAAAGATTCCTAAAACTCAAGTTTAAACAATAAAATCAATCTCAATAAATGACTTTAGGGAAAACCCAATTGCTTTTTTTGTATCAAAGCACATTAATAATATTTTTGCTTGTTTTACTTCTGTCATGTAAATGAAGTAGGTCTAATTCTAACCATTATTCTGATAACAAGAAAGCCCATGGAAGTTTGGTGAATTGCTCAGAACTCTAAAAGCATCGGAAGACAGACCTGCCAAAATTTGAATTAGACAAAAATAAAAAAAAAGTCATTCAGTTTTTATTTTAGCACTTCTGAGATTCTCTCAGTGGCTTTTGCTGCTGATAGTTGGTCTATGTGCTTTTGAAGTTCTCCTGGTTCCTAAATTTGCAGATTAGTGCCACTTCATTTGGGAAGGCTTTAGTCATTATTTCTTCAAATACTTCTTTTTCGGGCCTGGTGAGGTAGCCTAGCAGCTAAAGTCCTTCTCTTGAACGCACCAGGATCCCATATGGGTGCCGGTTCTAATCCTGGCAGCTCCATTTCCCGTCCAGCTCTCTGCTCGTGGCCTGGGAAAGCAGTCAAGGACGGCCCAAAGCCTTGCACCCATGTGGACCCTGCACCCATGTGGGATACCTGGAGGAGGTTCCTGACTCCTGGCTCCTGATTGGCACAGCACTGGCTGTTGCACTCACTTGGGGAGTGAATCATCGGATGGAAGATCTTCCTTTCTATCTCTCCTCCTCTCTGTATATCTGACTTTGCGATAAAAATAAATAAATCTTAATAAAAAATCCCAAATACTTCTTTTTCTGTTCTCCTTTTGGTACTCATATTCATTAATGTTCATCAGCATGATGCTTTCCTAAATTTCTCTAAACCTCTATTCATTTATCTTCATTCTTCACTCTTGGATGGCAAATATCCATCAGTCTATCTTCAAGGATTCTTCTCTGATTTTTCAGATATACTACTGGGGCCTCCAGGGAATTTTTCATTTCAGTTACTTTATTTTTCACCTCTCGCATTAACATTTTGAAAACTTTTACGGTTTCCTTATCAATCTCTCCATTTGCCAATATATGGTTATATCTTTCTATTTAATGCATACTTTCCTCTTGAGTTCTTTTCATATAATTATAATGGCTACTTCAAAGTTGGTGTATATGAAGTCCAGCATTAAGACCTTTGGGTTTGTGGTTATTATTGTTGGCTTATCTATTTGCTTAGTTCTTTGATAGGAACACAGATCCACTTCTCTTGAATGACACTTCTGCTTTACGAGAAAGGGACCGGGCGCGGTTACAGCTTTTGGTACTCTCACTTTGCATTTCCCAGCACAGAACCCCCCACCTCTTTACTGGTTATTGCCGTCTTAGGCCAGATCTCTACTCTGTGAGAAGCAGGCTCCCATCTTCTTAGTTGCATTGTTCTGGAATTGGGTATCTGCGGCAAGAGCTGAGAGGAACAAGAAACACTGGCCACCTGCCCCTCTCGTGAAGAGCTGGAAGGATAGTCCTGCTTTCTGGGCCGTACTCAGCTCAAGTCTGTCACGCTGAACTGGGAGGAGGCGAAAAAGTGGGTCACGGCTCAAGAGTCATAAACTGCTTTTACTAAGATTTAGTGGCGTCTGTTTTGAATAAATGTTTCTTCATCTGCTGACTTGTATAAATAACACCCAAAGACTTTAAATGTTTCTGTTTGTTTAAAAAAAAAAAAGCTTTCAAGAGCTTTGGCTTTCGGCGTGGGACAGCTTGATGCAGCACCCCTGCCATTATTCTGAAAGTGTTAATTTCTCATTCAGTATTTCTGAAGCACAAAGATTATCAGTAAATCAATACTATATAGATTAAGTTTCAACTATAACTAAAGATAAAAAATTTACTGAGCACTAAAAGTAGGTATATTGCTACAAATTAACAAACTTTTAGCAGCTTATTATATGTTTTAACCATTACCAATAAGTAACATATTAGAGAATAGAATTTTAAAATAACAGAATTCTTTTAAAATTGTGTTTAGTTATCTTCAATTTTAACTGTAAACTTTGGGCTTTGAAATGTATGATAAAACTTTATAAGATTATGGTTTAAATTTATGTTTTCCTTAAATTATACACATCAACAATATCATTATCATTATTAACATTATTGTTATTATTGACATTTACATGACAAAAACTTGTTTGTCCATACAACTGGGACTAACACACAACATGCACATTAGTAACTGCTGTGTGGAATCTGAATATTTCCTCCATGACAGTTTCATTAACCTTTACTCAAAACCAAATTACTAATAAAAAATATATATATACATGTGTGTAACATTTAGAAAGATATCACTTATGTAAGCAAGGTCTACATGAAGCACACATTTCCTATTTATAATAAATCATTTTATTTAAAAAAAGACTTTTGTAGGGATCCAATAGTTCAAAGATCAGCATATGAAGTTACTGGAGAACCATCCTAACACCTCAAAATAGATCCTAAAGGATTAAATTATTTATTAAATATGTTTAATAGATACTATCATATGTTTTCTCTAAAGATCATGAGGTAGATCAAATATGAATTTGACATTCAATTCAATAATTTATGCCCACAGCGATAATGAAAACCTACCTGCCAATACCTGGTTGTTGCATATTTAACTGAAAGGAACAGACCCAAAACTCTTTGGGAAACTCTTATTCTCTCACCTGTTCCCACAGCGCAGAACATTAACCTGACACATCTGCCTTAGACTACAGAAGGGGCTCATTAACAGCTCAGCTATCCCCAAAGGTGTGATTAATACAACCTAAAATCAAAATACTGTAGGTTTCAATTTACCTGATACAAATAATCTTCAAACACGAAATAATAATCATCGTTGCTTGCTGTCAACTTCACATCCTATAATTGAAAGTGAAAAGTACTGAAAACAACCCAAATAAATCTGCCTACATTACTAAAACATGCAAACAATATTTAGAAACACTATTGCAATAAATGCAATACTTTGTGATTATCAACCTCTCCATTAGATTTTAACGCCTTCCTGTATTTTCCTAAATAATATATGTGATATATTATTTGCCCTTAAGTTTCTTACATACTCCAGACTCATCAGCATTATTAATTTAAAAATTGTCATCTTTCCCTCTAATATTTAGTTGTCTTACAGCTGGAAAAGAAAATTAGACGTGATTATAACGCACTGAAGCAATCACAACAATGTGGCCTTAAATTACCGCTCCGGTGTCGTTGAGGCTTCAGTGCTCGAGTCTTACAGCGGTCGTCCGTGGTAGGTGAGTGAGGGGGCTATGAGGGTGTGCCGGGAAGGGGTAGGGGCAGCGTGGAGTTTGGTGCAGTCAGTAGTTCAGATGCAGCTTAGGATGCCTGCATTCCATCATGGAGCATCTGGGTCCAAGTCTAGGCTCTGCTCTTGGTCAAGCTCTTTGCTAATGCAGTCCACATTCACAAAGGACTCATTTATCCCGATTAAACTCATTATCTTTTTAGACTCTCTCAGCATAGGCTGATATTAAGTGAATCTCCAAAGTACATCACTATCCAGCAAAATACCAGAAATTCTTTGATATTTAATCTTTCTTACTAGAAAGAATTTTTTTTTCCTAAAGTAGTACGATGACAAAGGTAAATGATATAAAACTGTACTAGGTGTAGAAAAAGGCAAGGTGTGAAAAAAATACAGTTCAAACAGTATCATTTAATAATTTAGCTTAGGAATGGTTTGATAATGTTCTGTATTAAGTACCACCTTATTCCATTCATGCCTTTAAGCACTAAATTAATTCTACTTTGCTTTTAGTTAAGTTTAAAACAAGTGTTGGGGTGGGTGTATAGTGAAGCAGTTAAGATATACCTGAGGGTCAGAATTATGCAGTAGCAGGTCAAGTGTCATCTGTAATGCTGGCATTTCACATGGGTACCGGTTCAAGTCCCAGGTACTCCACATCCGATCCAACTCCTTGCAAATGTACCTGCAGAAGACAGCCCAACTATCTGGGTTCTTGCCACCATCTGAGAGAACTGGATGAAGTTCCTGCTTCAGCCTGAATCAGCGCTGGATGTTTTAGCCACTTGGGAGAGTAAATCAGCAGAGGGCACAGCTCTCTCTCTCTCTCTCCTCCTTTCTCTCTAACTCTTTGAAAATAAATAAACAAATCTTAGAAAACAAAGATGCACTTGGGCAATCTGCATCCTGTATTCTGTACTGGCATTCCTGGATTTGAGTTCTAGCTCCACTTCTTATCCCATCTTCCTACACACCCTGGTGATGATGCAAATAGTTGAGTTCCCACTATCATGTGTGGAGACCAGATTCAGTTTCTGGCTGCTGGCTTCAGTTGCTCCCTGGCAACTCTAATCACTGAGAGACAGAGCCAGCAAATAGGAAACCATTCTGTCTCTCTGTTTCTCTCTTAGTCTCTCCCTCTCCGTCTCCTTCAAGTAAAATAATTATAGACAAGTCTTTGCCTTAGGGAGATAAAACAAATTCTCAAGTTATTTATTTATTTTTATGTTTTAAAATATTCTATTTGTTTGAAAAGCCAAGTAGCAGAGAAAAAGAGAAAGAGACAGAGAGATAAACCAGGGCCAGATTGAAGACAAAAGCCAAGAATTCCATCTTGATCTAGACGTCAGGGGTCAAAGTACTAGAATCATCTCCTGCTGCTTTCCCACGTGCATTAGTGAGAAGCTGGATCAGAAGAGGAACAGCCAGAACTGAAACTGAAACTCTGACATAGGATGCTGTCATCAGAAGGGCAGCTTAACTCTGCATCACAATGTCAGCCACCTAATAATGTTCATTATCAACAGAGCCCAAATGACAAAAGTCAAAAACAGCCAGATGCAGATACCTTCCTGAAAATATTCATGTTGTAGATTGTCTGGATTGATGCAACATCCCCAGTGGGCCAGAGCACTACTTCCATCTACATTTTTCTGGGCCTGTTTTGTACATTTTCAATCATTTCTGTATGAGTACCCAGCCTGAGTGGTTCAATTCTTCTCCAAGCTATCTATTATTTCTTTGTTAGGACTCTGGTTGTAATAATTTGCACAACTCTACTCTTTGTCTTTTCATGAGCTGTTATTTACTTACTTTCACTTGTTTGAAAGGCAGAGAGACCAAGTGAGAGAGTGTCAGAGACAGAGAAGGCTCTCATCCTCTGTTACATGCCTTGGCAAAATGCCTGCAACAGTGGGGCTGGGCCAGCCAGAAGCTGGGAGGCGGGAATTCAGTCTAGGTGTCCCAGATGGAGAACAGGAACTCAACTACTTGAGCCATCTTGAAGGCCAGCCTCAGCTCTATATGTATAATGATCTAAAGAATGTTAATATTTTCACTAATATATTTCATTATACTTAATATAAGCCCTGCATATTAATGACTCTTGATTTTACTGATATTAATAAGATAGAAAAATTATGCATACGTGTACTTACTTTATAAGTTAAACGGTCCACCAAAAGATCATACTGTATCACATTGGTCTTTAGCTGCTCATAATATAAGATATCCTGAATTTAAAAATAAGCAAAAAAATTAAAGGTCATTTATGCCAGCCTCCAACTTTAATAAATAATAGTCATTAATAGCACTACTCAACACAAGGTGAAACTTTTTTCTATTGTTTACTCCTATGTCTGATCAATAGTAGATATTAATATACCTATTTTCCATTTCTTAGCATAATAATGGTGAATATTCAATCAATATTTTCTGAATATTTGAATTATAATTTAAGAAAAAAATGCAACATTTTTTAGTTCCTAGGTGCCAGGTTCAGTTTTAGTCACTTTGCAAGAGTTAACTCATTGGATTAGCACTGGGTAAAGCTGATAACTACAATTCCAGCATCCCATATGGGTGCCAGTTCAAGTCCCAGCTGCTCCATTTTTAGTTCAGCTGCCTGCTACTGTGCCTGGGAAAGCAGCAGAGGTTGAACCAAATGCTCGGACCTTGCATGCATGTGGGAGACCAGGAAGAATCTCTGGGTTCCTTTGACCTGACCCCACTTCAGCCACTTCAGCCATTTGGGGATTAAATCAGAGGATGGAAGATCCTCTTTGATCTTCATCTCTTTCTCTGCAATTCTGTTTTCCAAATAAGTTAAAATAAATCTTTAAAAAAAAAAATCTCTCTCCTTAGAAAAAAAAGTTAACGCATTTAAACCGATACAAACAAAATTAAACAGTTATTACTCCTATTTTATTTGAGAAGTTAAGGTCCAGAGAAAAAAGAAATTTGGGGAACCACTTCAAATGACATATTTTTAGAATGTTGGGGGAGCAGGTACCTGAAACTGGATCTATATGATTTCAGAACCAATGTTTTTAGTCACGAGGCTAGGGAACTACTGATGTTTCAGTCATCAAAATGTTCTCAAAGATTGCCTTCTTTGACTAATAGACAAAGAAACAAAAAATCCCCATTGAGAATATTTCTAGAATAATCTCTGTATAAGATAACTTTTCTTTATTGACTCTTTAATCTGTCTTCTCTTGGTGATTTCTCTCACATTCATATTTCTGCACAATCTAACCATTTTTACATCCATAAAAAGTTTATATTTCCAAGACAACTATATTGACAAAGAATTCATTTACTTATGTTGGTTGTATTTCATCTCTTGTTATTTCAATATCACAGAGCCACCACATATCTTCATTGATCTAAACTACCAGACTCCACTTCTCAAAAATTATCTCAGTTTTTCTTGTATGAATAAAGTCATACTATTTAACTATTACGTACAACATTTTCTATTTAAGCATGCTGGTTAACTTACACATTAAATCATACCTTAGGAACCAAAACCATGGTAATTTTGGAAATAAAACGGTAGGTAGATAACAGATCCAGAGAGAAAATCATTTCTAGTTTCAGCAACTGGTCTTTGAAAAACAAGCACCAGTACCTGAGTTTTGGCCTGCTCTTTTTCCTTCTTACCTCAGGCTGACTGGAGATATTCAGAATGAGAGCCCACAGCTCAGCTCGCAGTGCCGTGGGACTTCCTTGTCTGATATACTGCTGAGCAGCAGCACTGTCCTGTTCTGCCAGGACTGTCAAAGACACATTCAAATCTCATTAGAAAGTTGTAAGAAACATCACTGAATTGCTCATTATAAATGTTTTGGGAAACAAACATTAACTTTTAGAACTGACACAACTATAACATATCTTGCCCTTTTCCTCTATGAATATTATATGACCCCACTCACAGCCCTACAAGCTAAAAGCCTTAAGTTTCTTCACCTCTTACTCAGTGTAACAAAGGCTTTTTAATACACGTAACCTTGAAACCTTTGATTTAGTTATTATGGATTTGAATTATTGATGTATGTGTGCGCATATACATATAAAATAGATGCTGGATTCTATGATTAAATCCAGCCACATATATCCTGTAATATTCTATTAAGTCACGAGTGTTCTGATAGTTGGCAGCAGTGAGCTACCACAGCTAAGATCCATTCTGTTAGATGACTTGCTTGGCCTAGCAAAATCAACAGAACAGAAGTCTAACTTTTTTTCTTGAGAACCAAAACCAAAGATCTAAGAATCTTTTAAGAAGGCAAAATGTACTATTAAAACAGCCAAGTTCACAAAATTAGTGTACAAACATTTATATTTCATGTTTACCTTCTTTAATAAAAAATACCAGCTATTCAGTCTGAAACTAATACCCCAAAAAGCCAAATACAAAAACATCACACTATTCAATTATTGATGATTGTCTAGGAGTACTGCTTTCTTATATTTATCCTTAAAGGTTTGAAAACGCAAAAAACTGTATACCAAATGAAAATGATAGGACCAAAAGCAACAAAAGAATCATATTGAATAGCATAATAGATGAAATAAACTTTTTACTCTGCAGTTGCATTTAATGAAGGTGTCAGCTCAAACCAAAACAAAGTCTTTGGAATATTATTTTTAAATTGACCTAGGAAGTTTTGTATATGACAATAGAATTGCCGTACAAATCTCATTCTGACACAAAGATTTATGTGTGCTTCTCATTTCAAAGACAAAGGAGAATTCATAAAAATGATGAGGAGAATATTGAAAATATACGGAAAAGCTGTTGGCTACAATGCTAAAGAGTCACTTGGGTTACTAAGTCTTACCATTGGTAACAATCAGCAGGAACTGCTTCAGTTACATGCTCTGCCCATGCAGGCACACGGGCTTGTTAACTCTAATGAGAAGCGTGTGGGTGCATCAAAAGCAGATCCTGCCTTCTGAATTTAAAACAAAACTCTGCTGAACAAATTAATCTAACCTCCTTGAGGACAGGGTGTCTGCATTTCTGTCTCAGGGAACTAGCTGCATACTTCATTGAGCATCCACCAATAAAGTCAACATGATGCATTTTCTTGCTTCCTAAAGCTTCCCTCATATTACCAGTACAAACATTACATTTGCTTTTGTTTCAGTATTTCAGAGATATAATATAGGACATAGTGGGGACATATAATGTGGACAGTGACCAATGACAAAATAATTATTTAGAACTCTATAAGTAAATTTAAAAGCTTACCTTTTTGACCAATTCGCACATGCTCATTTTCAAAAAGTTCTAAAAATGTGAAAAAAAAATTATTAATCACAGATACGCTCAACCACACTTAGAACAACAGCTCCATTTTTTCCTGTAATTTGTTTTTTGATTTTTAAAATTGTATTTATTTATTTTTTTATTGGAAAGGCAGAAAGAAAGAGACAGAAAGAGTTCATCCATTTGCTAGTTCACTCCTCAAATGCATGCAATAACCAGGGCTGGTCAGGTCAAACCTAGGACCCAAGTACACGAGCCACCACCTGCTGCCTCTCAGGGTTTCCATGAGCAAGTGCACAGTCACAAGTAGACCTGGTACCTGACCTCCAACACGTCAATACGAGCATCACACACAGCTGCATGCCACAGGTCTGCTCCATTCTAACACCTTAAACCATTTCTGAAGCCATAGGACTCTATAGCAAACTGTATTTAATTCATATGTTGAAAACTCTTTAAGTTTAACCAGAAAAAAATTGATGAATTAATCTTCGCTTTGATAAAATAGAATATCATCTCATAACACAAAAATGTTTTTTTCTACTCTTTATCTTTTCAAAATAAAATATAGTGATAGTTCATTTTGCAAAGTCCTACTTCCATTCCAATCTACCATTAACATCTATTATTTCTATCATTAAAGTTTTATCAGTTTATAAGTTTTATAGTGTTACAGGTAAAATCTAACTATAAAAATGCCATTTCAAAAAGTATATGGGGCAGATAAATTTTTAAAGTACCAATTGTAATGGGAAAAGATTCATAAAATGGACAACATTAAAATATAATAAGATTTTTGTTTACCCACAACACCATTAAGAGAGTTATAAGGTAACTCACAGCCTAGAAGAAAATATCTGTAACACGTATATCCAGCACAGAACTTTTATCCTGACAGAATATATAAGGAACTCATGGTAGAAAAAGGCAAACAACTGTCAGACACAAACAGACTAAAAACTTCAAAAGGTTCTTCACAAAAATGATGACCTAAAAGATGAGTAAACAATGAAAAGTTGCTCAATCACGTTAGTTATCCCAGAAATGCTATTAAAACAGTAATAATGGGCCTACTGCAGTAGCCTTGTGGCTAAAGCGCTCTGGTTCTAATCCGGCGGCCCCACTTCCCATCCAGCTCCCTGATTTGTGGTCTGGGAAAGCAGCTGAGGACAGCCCAAAACCTTGGGACCCTGCACCCACATGGGAGACCTGGAAGAAGCTAGTGGCTCCTGGCTTCAGATCGGCTCAGCTTCAGCCATGGTGGTTACCTGGGGAGTGAGCCAGAAGACAGAAGATTTTTCTGTCTTCTCCTCTCTATAAATCTGACTTTACAATAAAAATAAATAAATCTTTTTAAAAAATTGTAAAGAAATGCACAATCACTACAATAGCTACAACAAGAAAATATCAACAAATCTAAATACGAAGATATGGAGTAAATGTACTTCTCAGACTAATAATACAACCACTTGGGAAAACTAACATTATCTTACCAACAATGAATATCCTATAATAATCAGCAATTCCTGACCAGGTATATATCATAAAACACACATATTGCACCAAGGGACGTGTGCAAAAATGTTCGCAGAAGCACTACTGACAATAAGCAATTAGTGGAAACAATTGAAGGGATTATCAACAACAGTCCAGATGAATGGTACTGTAGTTACACAAAAACACAACAAAGGGAATATGTGATTCAAAATTTTACACAACACAAAGGATCTTAAAAGCAGCACAAAATAAGATACCAAAAAAAAGAAATACATAATACATATTTTTGTGATGATAAAACACAAAAATAGGCAAAGCCTTTGATGTGAGCAGTCATCTCAGTTGTCATCAGTGGAGAAGGATGGGAAAATGCGTAAGTGCGACATGTGGGATGCTGGGATGCTGCAATACTCTGTTTTTGATCTGGCTGGTTATACAAGTGTATTTACTTTGAAAAACTTCACATACATACATATATTCTTCTAAAAGTCATATTAAAGTTAGAACAAAGCAAACAAATATGACATCATGGCAATGGGGGTGGTGGGAGGAGTGACTTTAAATCTTTTATCCATTCCACAGAAAATTCACTGCTTAATGTTATTTCCTCTTCGTACCCACCTCCTGCGGAAGGAGGAGCTATATATTACCACAGGAGCAGGTAACTCCAAAGAGTGAAATAATCATGTGTTAAGGGACACAAACTTATATGTGGGTTTTGTTGTTGTTGTTGTTGTTGTTTTTGAGTAGAGCCTAGGTCTCTGGAAACTTGGTAGCCAACTTGGAACTTAATGCTTACCAAGTGTGGCTCGAATCAGAACTCGAGCAAAGGATGTCCATGATGCAGGTGGTGAATCAACCAACTGCACCACCATGCCAGCCTCTTTGGCTAATATAATTTAACACGGTTTTCTATAAATCCTGTTCGGTGACACTCAATTATATCCAGCCAAAATGATACTGTAAATCCTGGATAGTAGCGCCCTATCTGTCGTGTAGTGCGCAGAGATTTTCTCCCATTCTGTGGGTTGCTTCTTCTTCACTTTGTTGATCATTTCCTTTGCTGTACAGAAGCTTCTTAGTTTGATGTAGCTGCATTTGTTTATCTTGGCTTTGACTGCCTGTGATTTTGGAGTCTTTTTCCACAAAATCGTTCCCTATTCTTTGGAGAGTGCTTCCTATATTTTCCTCTAATAATTTGGTGGTTTCTGGATACAGATTTAGGTTCTTGATCCATTTAGAGCTGGATTTTGTATAAGTGACAGGTGAAGATCTTGCTTTTTACTTCTGCAGGCTGCTATCCAATTGTCTCAACAGCCTTTGTTAAAGAGACCAACTGTTTTTCCCTGGATTATTTTCATTTCTCTTGTCAAATATTAGTTGGCTGTGCATGTGTGGGCTCTCTTCTGGGGTTTCTATTTTGTTCCACTGATCTTCTCTGTTTCTCCATCAATGCCATATTGTTTGATTACTATGGCCCTGTAGCATTTCTTGAGGTCTGAAACTGTGATTCCTCGTTTGATTTTTATTCTTCAGGATAGCTTTGGCTGTTCATGGTCTCATGTGTATCCAAATGAATTGTTGTATCATTCTTTCCACTTCTGAGAAGAATGATGTTGGGATTTTTATTGGGATTATATTAAATCTGTCTATTACTTTTACTTAATGGGGGGATTTTGATTATGCTGATCCTGCTGATCCAGGAACATGGCCAATTTCTCCATCTTCTAATGTCTTCTTCCATTTCTTTTCTTTAATGTTTTGTCATTTCTATCAGAAGTCTTCCATGTTTTTGTTTAGGTTTATTCCAAGGCATTTATGGTTCTCTGCCATTTTAAAGGGGGTCTGTACTTACAAGTTCTTTCTCAGTCATGGAATTATTTGTGCATACTAGGGCCAATGATTTATGCTCATTGAGTTTGTACCCTACTACCATGCCAAAGTCTCTTAAAGATTACCTCAAAAGGCAAAAATATACAGGGTTGTCTTAGGATTTCTAATCCTTTTCTTATATGTGTACATCATTGCTATAAACACAAAAACTGTGCAAGATCTCATATATCATCACATCATCTGTTTCTTATCATTAATTACATGCTAAACAGGAAAAATACTAACCAGGAGGCACTTGTGTGGAATCATCTATACCAAGTTGTCCTGTATTTAAGCCAAGTTCAACAAAGCATTCTTTCTGAAAAATAACATACACAGCATTTATTAATGTTTCAGACTTTGCTACACATTAGTCAAAAGTCATCTTCACCTACATATCTGCTTTTAAAAAATCAAAATTTAGAAATGAATGTTACTCTTACAAAATATGAGTGCTGCCCATATTGTTTTTTAGTTTCCCTAACACAATCGATTTTCTTTTTAGGTAGTACATTAATCAACAAAGAATAATTTTCCCAAGAAGTAGAAACATTCAAACTTCTTCTGAAACATGCATACACACACATACACAAACAGACACACAGTGTATGTACTTACCATAATTATTACCTTCCAATAATCATCGTCTAAAGTTAGTAAAATAATCACACATCTCTGCTTTCGAAGGTACGGTATTTGTCTCAGTGCTTAATCAACGCAAAAAATACTCCCCCAAAATTCATCTTTATGTAAAATTGGACTATTGAGCTCTCAGTTAAAGCAAATGTAACTAGATTCATCTTTTCCTACTTCCTCTATTTAACTAGCAATGTCTAAAGAAAGTAATGTTTGGTATTTTAAAAAGCTTCATACACACTGCCTAAGTAACTAAATATTCCTATTAATATATGACTTGGGGTTCTGCTACTATTCTAATTGCTAAAACCATACTTCCCTCTCCATTTAAAAAATGGAATTAGTTTTAATCCTTCCTAATTATCTTATTATTTAAGTCTGTGATTTTTTAATATCTCTCACAAAACAGTTACTCAGACTAACACAGAGAGACATACATTTCATTTTGTATTGATTTTTAAATAGCCACCATTATATTTCAATTCCTGAGTAAACTTGATTTAATCTACAATTTAAAAACAGTACAACAGCTTATGTGGCCATGATTTAATGACCAATTTAAAAAATGTAGTATTGTTCCTCTACTTTCAATCACTGTTTTCCATGCATTTTAACACACTTTTACTTCTGTGAAGTCAGTGGTTTATTTATTTGTTTTTCATCTTTAAAATAAACTCCTTCTTTATACTGTAGAACTTGGGCTCAATAAACATTCCAATACTAGGCTTTGTATTCAAAATATTTCTTCCTCAACATGAGCAGATGTGGGTCCAAATCTCTATCTTCAAAATTGGTGCTCAGGTTCTCACAAGCTTTCCTTCATATTCCAAGGTGATGCAAGCAATTCTTTATGCACATCTACAAGTATTAACCCTTGCTGATTTCTATCAAGCACCTACGCACATCACAGTGAAACATTTTACTGTTACTCTCCCTCCTAACCTGCACTGGGGAGACAAAGGCTGTCTCACGCATATTTGTACCCACTAACCTGACATAGAACGATTCAGTATTTTTGTAAACTACACAACTGAATCAGCAAGCAGGAATTAGTTATAATTTCACTTTGGAGTTTAACAAATTTCAGTTTTAAGGATTTTCCATTTGATATGGATGAATCTTCATAGCACTGTGATTAGGTTTAAGTGTTATTCTATTATAGTGTCATATGACTTACCAAGCCCTTAACAAGTTCAATGCTTAAAACAGATCAGGATCAAGAGATAAACCATACAAGTCAGAATCATATCACTGTGTCACATGAACAGAGGGATGGTAGTGACAACTATCTCTAATAACTGCAGAAGAGAAAGATTAACAGTCTGCTAGGGCATGAAGTTAGAATGTCTGTAAAATTAATAATGGGTTTTGGTTCTTCTTTAGCTAAGAATGCATTCCCATCAGCTTAAGGTCCCTACAGACAACAGAAGACATACTGATCCCACTCATACACACAGTAAATCTTTTCTTAAATTATCTTTTCCTGCTTCTTTACCTACTAAACTCTTTAGAGACCTAACTCAAGCAGAAGTATCTTTGTGGGAAGAAGGCTTCCCACCATTTCCAGAAAGAAAATCTGCAATTACCCCTTCTGTACAGCCACTGCACTTTCTCTATAAAGTCTAAACTTCTACTATCATGACTTGTAATATTTTAAAAATGACTCTTTAAAAACGAATCTAAGTTACAGTAGTAATGGTTACTGGATATAGCCTACCTTTCCAAGTACCATTTACCACATGTAGTATATAAGTTCCCTAGGGCTGCCATAAATGAATACCATAAGCAGGTTTTAACAATAGAAATTTATTGTCATATCACTGGAAGCTAAAAATCCCCAAACAAGTGCTAGCAGGGCGTGTTTTCCTTGGAGGGTCTGAGGCAGCTCCCTGTTTCAGCTTGTGGTGTCACTGACGCTCTTCCGTGTTCCTTTGCCTGTAGATGTGTCACTTCAGTACCTGCCTCTGCTGTCATCTGACATGCTTCCTGTGGGCACTTCTCCTTCTCCTCCTGTGAAGGCTGCCACTCATATGAAATTTAGGATTCTCCCTTTTCCAATAAGACCTCATCTTACTTAAACCGCAAAGATCCAATTTCCAAATAAGGCCACATTCACACGTACGTACAGGACTTGAATCTAACTCTAGAGAGGCGCAATTCAACCCACATCATGTGTCTTACTTGATCTGCATCCCTGTCTTACAGGTGAGGAAACAAAGTCTCAAAGACAAGTTACTTGCTCAAGGTCACTCAGCCAGTATGAGGCAGAGCCAGAATTTCAACCCAGGTTCCTCCACTTCAGTGTCATCACCTAATAACTGCACGATACTGCTTCTATATGTAACAAATATTTTAAGAAGTCAAGTAAGCTAAAAGCTAAATGACTTTGATAATGACAGTAAAATAGCAGTTGTGTATTCTTCCCTAACACACACATACACACACAAGCATGATCGGCCCAATACCAAGGACAATCATTTTAGCTTTTTGCTTCTGATTTTCAACATTTTTATTTCCAACTGACAAGTGTATGTTGGTATTGCTAATGTATTAGTTTATGGCATTATCCATTGATTTTATGTCAGTTGAAGATTTTGGTTCTTGTATATTCTTAATCTTAACCTCCATCATCCATACATTATCACATATAATTATATACAACGTCTTGATTAAAGCCAAATTAAACTATACATCATTATGACTTGATAAGTATTATTAACTGCTACGTCATGTTATATTTATAAATATGCTTCATTTACTTTTTCTAAAAATGAAGATTCATTTATTTGTTTGAAAGATAGAATTAGGGGGACACAGAGACGGAGATCTTCCATCCACTGGTTCACCCTCTAATGGCCGTAATAGCTGAAGCTAGGCTGGTAGGAGGCCAGCAGCTAGGAGCCAGGAATTTCTTCTGGCTCTTCCATGACTTGGGACACACTCTGGTGCTCTCCCAGGTGCAATAGAAGGGAGCTGTACAGGAAGTGGAGCAGCTGGAACTCCAACTGGTGTCCATATGTGTCTCTAGACAACAGTGCTGGTCTCCGCACACTGTATTTCTTACTCATTTTTCCATACTGTTCATAGTCATACCATGTTTTCACTTATGTAAATTTCTCTAATGATTTCCATCTATCTTTTACAAACTCTGAAGACTGTTTTCAATTAATTTTTCATGCAGATTATCTATCTTTTTTAATGTTTTTCTTACAAGTATCCCTTCTTTCCATAGGATACAACTTCTTGGACTGATTTTCTAAGTAAAACAAAAATATCTCCTTCCCTATTTTTCTTTTCTTTGGCTTTTTGCTTTATCTTCTAATAAAGATGTTTCTCAGCTATGGTTTCAACTCTTACAATGATTTTTTTTTAATGCCAAAATATTTGGATTTGGAGCTACAGGATAACCAATTGATGACTATAGTACCTCTCATTCCAATTCCTGTCTTCTAGTTGCATTTAGGGTTCGGCCCTAACTTGTGGTTAAGTCACTTTTCAACCTCTGTATGAATCCATGAAACCTCACAGTTATAACTTGCTAATTACTTTCAACAAATATGGCATTTGCATTTTTGTGCTCCTTCTTGTTTTGGGACGATTAATAACAGAGGGTTTGGTAATATCCTAACTAGACCATAAGGAAATCTCCACATTTCTCACTTTAAAAGTAAAGTCCCCCACCAAAGTGCTACTGACAGGAAGAGTAGAAAGGCTAATTCATTTTTATCTTCCTTGTCTCTCTCAGCACCTTGACATGTTTTGAGTTCTCTAAAGGTTGGCTGAAATAAATAAAATTCACTCTCTTCACTCTCTTACAAATAATTTCATTAAACTCACAATTTGTTTCAATCAGTTTTATAGTCATACATCAGGCATTTGAACTGCAGGAAGTTTTAAAAATCTATGACATTTATTAAAACTAGGAATAAGTAGAGGCTTATTCAATGTAAGCTCATTTTAGTCCCACACTAAGCAACTTGCTTTTTATATATTTATATATTCAATAAAAAAGAAATATTCTTATTCATTTCTTTAGTGAGTAGAATAAGCTAGTGCTTTTGATTCATGCTGTACTAAAATATGTTTCTAATGGTTGTTTTCCAACATATGCTAATCCATTTTTAATGTTTATACTTACCAATTCAGGGATGTCTTTAACTTTCAGAGGAACTTGGATTAAACCCAAATGAGTCCTGAAACTAAGAGGATCACCATTTTCATAATTTGGGTTGCGAAGGTTAATTAATACCTTTAAAAATAAAGTCAGCAAAATTAGTTTCTTTATAGGATGTTTAAATGTAACAAATTGGTAGTGACACTCCTGGACTACCACCACAAAATTAAGACTACGTGAAATTATGCTTGCTCTTTATCCCCTTCCATCTTGCCCTCTCTTTTTCAGTACTTCTGCTTTTTAAGTAAATAAATATTTATAAAACGTTAGAAAAAAAACATTAAAATCACTACTTACAACATTTTCCCAGGAGGGTTGACAGAAAAAAATCTTTAATTATAGTATCTGTCAGGGAAATTCTCAGAATCAACTCTAAAGTTTTTAAGAACAACAGTTTTTAAACCATGAAACTCAAATGGGCATTTGTCACAGTAGTTCATAAGCCATTGTTTGACACACCTGCTTCCCATATTGCCTAGGTTGGAGTCTTGGCTCTTGGCTCTTGGTTCGGGATTCCTGTTTCCTGCTAATGCATATTCCAGAAGGTAGGATGAATGATGGGTCAAGTGGCTGGATCCCTGGTACCTTTCTGGGAGACCCAGCAGTAAATATAAAATCTCTTCCTCTCTCTGAATCAATCTCTGTCTCTCCCTGCCTTTCAAAGAATGTTTGAAATTTAGAATAACTAAAATAAACAAAAGAGAATTCAGCAAAGATTTTACTAAGATGTTGGAGTAACACTGCAGTATATAACCTCTAAACTAAATCCACAAGGACAAAAGAAAAAATTTAGGAGAAGACCTAACAAAAAGACCATGTATATAGTTTTCAAATATAAACTAATAAACATTCTTAGATATGCACAAATATATATTTTAACCTAGGAATCTAATTTCTGTAAGTATGAATACAGAATATATGACTCTGAGAAAATAATTAAATCTTTGCAAAGTTTTAAACTGGTCAAACTGGTATCAGACAACAGGCTCAAAAAAAAAGAGATAAACATAAATGTGAAACATTCATAAATATTTATTGAACAACTATGTACTAAGCACTGCTCTATCTGCTGGTGACAGAGCAGTTAGGGACACGATTAACTTACAAGTGGTTGTTATCTCTTCTCGGAATACCTAGAAGCCTGGTAGTGATCCTTGCCCACAATAGAAGAAATGTACTATCTAGTCATTTATAATTCAATTCAATGTTCAAAACTTCCCCGAAGGTATTTCTTAACACTGTTAACACTGTTCACTGAAAATGTTTGCAGCTAATTTAACCAGTCAGTACAGGAAAGACTACTCTTAAAAACTCAGGCCTTATCTCCTTAGACTAAGCAATCTCACACAGCCCTGGCTGGTTCATAACCCAAGAAGCTTGAGAATGAACCATCAGAGCTCCGCGGGGAAGTGGCTCTATGCATTTGCTCCTGCTGAAAGAGAGCCTTTTGTGGGTGTACCCTGTGACACCTTGTGGGTATTGTCAATCATCTGTCCCTGTGTAATGCAGCAGCAAAGAAGACAGAGGGAAAAGTTCCGGCCACTGGGAAGCTTCTTGGAATCAGAGGAAGGCAGGCAAAAACAGAGCTGGAAAGAAGTACAGGGCACTCCTGGCAGGGGAGTCGGGGAAGACCTGGCTGAGAAGGCAACAGTTAGGCCGACCCCTGCGGAGTCAGGGAGTGTGCGGGGAGGCAACCGGGGCAGACTCTGTCTGCAAAGGAGTAAACAAACCAACAGGAAAATCTGTAGATGAACTCAGAGAAGGAAAGAGGTATCTGATTAAATGGCTGTTTAGGCTCACTGTCATGACTTGGTTTTGAATTTTTTGTTCATTTAAGTTTAAATTATACATATTTGTGAGTTACAGGGTAATTTCAATATATGCATACAATGTATAGTAATCAAATCAGATAGTTAATATTTCCATCCCCATAAGTATTTTTTAGAATGTTTGATTAACATGTAATAATTGTAAATATTTATAAAATTCAGTGAGACATTTCAATATATTTATGTAATCTGTACTGATCAGATTAAGGTCATTAATGTTTCTATCTCCTTACCATTACCATTATTTGGAGAGAAACTTCAAGGTCCTCTATTGTAGTTATTGATAAAACAGTCTATCATGAAGTATGGTCTTCTCGCTGTAGGATACCAGAAGTTTACTCCTACCATTAATAGTCTTTGGGTATCCATTACTCAACTTCCCATCTTCCCCTTGTCTGCTAACCCTTCCCAGTGTCTACTAACCACTATTTTACATTCAAGTTTTAAAGCTTCCACATGAGAGAGAATAGATAGTATTTGTCTTTCTATGTCTGACTTGCGTAGCATGACCTTGGCTTTTAATAAGCCACTAGGTACAAGAAGAACAGCTTCTTTTGAATTGTGCTTCATGCCTCACCCAGGAAGCTGTGACAATGGACAGAGGTTAGGTAGGAAGAGCAGAAGGAGAAAGATCAATTAGGAATGACTACATTGTCCAAACAAGAGAGGATGGTCACCTAGAGAAGCAGTGGTTGGATTCTAGGTACATTTTGGAAGGTAATTCAAAATTATCTTCATGAGAAAGAGGGGAATCAATGCTAAGTGAACTGAAATCATTGCTGAGTTCCAACTGCCTCCTGAAGAGTTCCACCTGAATGTCTGAAATGCCTCTCAGACTTCACTGAGCTCACCATCTTCATGCATGGACACGTTCTTCCTACTGTGGCTTCTATCTCAAAGGCTAATCACCTTTGTCCAACTACCAGATGCAGGCACTTGAAGGCCATCCTTATCGTTTCTTTTTTCTGGTAGTCCCCATACCAAAACAGTTTCTAAGTCCTCTATAATGTCGCCTTCAAATCTGTCAAGCTCTTTCCCTTTCCAAAGCTGTCTCCTTGGTTCAGATCATCATGATGTCTAGTAACAACTACTAGAACAGGGGAAAAAATAGAAATCGAAGCTACTTACTGAACCCCTGTAAACACCAGGGAGCAGGTTTCTTATTTATGTTTACTGTTTTTAAAATTAAAATTTCATAATTTTATTTCTGTCTCTAGTTTTTCTATACCCCAATGTATTTTCAAGAGAAACTTCTAGATAGAGTCAATGCACTGCTTTGATCACACTGTGTCTTTTGAAAAGATAAATTTATTGATTTATGTAGAAAGCCAGAGCTCTAGACAAAAAGAGAAAATCCTCAGGCTATTAGTTCGCTCCCCAGGTGGCCACAGTGGCCAGGGGTGTGCCAAGTAAAATCTGGAGCCTAGAAATTGAACTGAGTGTCCCACACAGGTGGCAGGGGCCCAAGCACTTATGCCATCTTCTATTACTTTTCTCAAGCCATTAGCAGAGTGCTGGATCGAAGTGGAACAGTTGGTATATGAACTGGTGCCCATATGGGATGCTGGCTTTACCTGCTATGCCACAACACCAGCCCCCATTGATTCGGGGTTTTGTCTGTGGTGATTCTTTTGCACAAGACAGTCTTACCTCACCATTTCCCTCCAATTATTCCCTCAATAACGTATGTGTGTGTGCATGTGTGTACATGTGTGTGTCCATGTGTATAGGAACCTACCTCAAGGAAATCCTTAGGTGCATAAACAGGTCTGAAAAGGCTCAAATCTAGAATAAGACAGATTCAAACAAACTTTCAGTTATATAGAGGTTTTATTAACACTACATGTTAATGATTCTTTCATATGTTACTATACAGATATCCAAACATTTGCTGGGTATTGGTTATTTGACATATAATCTGTTAAATTCTGGGAACATCAGTGAAAAGACTCTCTTTTCTCTTTCCAGTAACAGCCTAGATGATGTATTCCAGAAGAAATTAAGTCTCTTATTCATAAATGACAACTAGCTATTTACAATTGAATTTGCTAAAGAATGTAAATGTGATGGAAAGCTTTTACCTGAGAATTCTCATAGTACTCAGAATACAGAGAACATATTCTCAGTAGACTCATCTAGTTGCACTAAATTGTGCTCTCACTTAAACTCTAATAGCACATCACTTCTTCGACCATGGCACTTAGTTTTTTTGGGTGGTGACCTACTCTTATTTTTTAAGCAGTAGGAAAGAAGAGGAGTCATGTACCGGTCCTTCTATACATTAATCAACACCTATTTATCACAGTAAATAAAATATAGCTATTGTTAATTATACATTTATAAAACTGACTTGATTTTAAATATTGAAATATACCAAAATAAATTATTTAAGGTCACAAAACTCGTTTTTTAGCATTTACCCTATTTTAACATACCAAGGTAACTGAGTATGTAAAACAATTATCTTAGTTCAGAGTCTCAGAAACCTACTGAATAAATTTGATTTGTTTTTATACGAATGTTTTAAGATGCTCTTTAAAATGGATACACGATTTAAATATTCTCAAAATACTGGAAAACACAGAGGAAAGTTAGGAATTCTTACACTATAAAGTAGAAAGAACTTTAACAAAACTGAATTTAGGCAATTAGTAGGGAAAGCTGCTATCCTTCCAAAAGAAGTGCTAATTATATTTGTTTTGATCTGTAGCTAAGACAGCAATTCTTTTTCCCAATACTACATTTTGAAAGCAGATTCTTCATATACCTGGTTCATCGGTTCCCATTTCATTCCACTTATTGAGAAGCTCTTTCTGTTCTGCGACAGGCCTCTAGAAAAGGTAATTTTAAAACTGGTTTCACTTTTTCCAGCTAAACAATTCAGCTGAAACCCAAAATCAATAGCTTATTTAAAAGTGTAAGCAAATTACCCTAACATAAGAAAAATAATTTCACAAAACCCAGAGAACTTTTGGGGAAGAGTTACACTTAAATTATTAGTTAACTGTTATATCTTGTCTCAAAAGCTCCATTTAGAATAGGGTACTACCGAATTCAAGAAGGTAATTGATCTGTGCTGGTCAGTAAATTCCACAAAGAAATACTATTCCTCAGCCACACACTGCATGTGTTACTGCATCCAGCAGCCCAGAAGGACTGACCACGAGAGTGACTGAGAGTCAGTACCACCATCTTCCTACATGAATGGCAGCATACTGCACAGTACTGCCATCCTTTCCTTACACCAATCCTCTGGGGAACTCAGTGACCTGTCCTTGGAATGCTACTTAAATTATATCCACTATGTCATGTCCAAGGTGGAATAAGCAACAAGGAGGAAAGATTAAATGAAAGGAAACCTATTTCCTACTTGTGAGCAGTTGTAAACACACAGAACATACATATGGTTTTACTCTCCTTTTCCAACTTCCCTCCTCAAATCCCAGACCAACAGATAATTTATGGAAAAATGGGTCTAAACACAATTACAGTTTTACAGAGAAATGACAAACCATTCAAACCATTATTTCTGTTGCCTTTATTAACACTAAGAAATGGCATCATACTGTCTTTTACAGGATCACCGTATTCCTGAATTTCATATTTCTTATGACTCACATGTTGAATTAGCCAATAAAGAAAGGCAAGTGAAATCTTTAAGGGTATGAATACTTGTTATAGCCAAATAACTAAGTAAACTGTACCATGTATTCTATATTTTTATATAATCTCAAAGGTATGGTTTTATCACAATAATTATGACAGCATATACAGCAAATACACCTTTTACAAATTTTGTTCTTAAAGCCAGTTGATACACTAGTAAAAAAAAAACAAAATCATCAATGAACCTACCTATTATAGAACTGGATCACCCTTTCTAGTTCTTGATTGTCAATAAAATACAGGAAAATATTCAAATTACCTTTCGTGCCAATGGGATACTCAGTTCAGTACACATGCTATTTAAACTCTTCAGAATTCTTTTTTCCCAACTTCCCTGAAACACAAATAAAAATCTATTACTGTTTCTACTTATTAATGCTGAAAGTAATAGAAAAAAAAAAAGTTACATGTGATGAGACATGGCAGTGACTGGTTATCCTGATTCATCAGTTCACTCCATAGAGAGACACTGCCTCATGTGTGCCAGAGGCTGCCCTTGGTGCTGGAGAAACACAACGCCTTAGTCCTCACAGAACAAAGCTTCTCGGTGAGGATGGGAAGAAGAGACAAAACAAAACAACCCAAGTCATCTGGTGGAAGCATTTTGCATTTCTAGGTACAATGGGTACATACTACTATTGTAATTATTCCAAACATGACACTCTACCACTAACACTTCAGGAAGCATATTATTACAATAAGGGTTTCCACAACATCATATCACCTAAGAAAATGAATGACACTTTATATCATTGAATATTTAGTTCAAGTTCAAAGTTTTCCAATATTCCCAAAATGAAGTTTCCTAGTTACTTTTAGAAACATAGGATCCATAAAGAGGAAAAGGAATGTCATTATTGTCTTAGAATTTTATACAAATCACACTGAGTCTGTTAAAATGAATTAAAATTCAAATTTAAAAAATCAGCATTGAGGCCAGTGCAGTAGCCTTGTGGGTGAAATCTGTACCTTGCATGTGCTAGAATCTCACATGGGCACCCAGCACATGGGTATCCCAGCCGCTCCACTTCCCATCCAGCTCCCTGATTGTGTGGCCTGGGAAAGCAGCAAAGCACGGCCCAAAGCCTTGGGACCCTGCATCCATGCGGGACACCCAGAAAAGGCTCGTGGCTCCTGGTTTTGAATCAGCTCAGCTCCGTCCATTGAGGCCACTTGGAAAGTGACCAGCAGACAGAAAATCTTCTTCTCTAGGTGTCCCCTTTTCTCCTTAAAACTACCTTTCCAATAAAATTAAGTATTTCTGAAAACAAAAAAAAAAAAGCAGAATCCATTCAAAATTCAGGCAGTACACTTTTGGTGTATCTTTTTAAAGATAGTGACTTTAAAATAATTTACTTTAGTGCTATTTGAAAGGTAGATTTACAGAGAGAAGGAGAGAGATATATCTTCCATCTGCTGGTTCACTCTCCAAATGGCCACAACAGCCAGAGGTGGGCCAATCCAAAGCAGGACCCAGGAACTTCTGGGTCTCTCACATGGCTGCATGAGCTCAAGGACGTGGGCCACCCTCCACTGCTTTCTCCAGCCTTAAGCAAGGAGCTGATTCAGAAATGGGGCAGCCAGGACACAAACTGGAGCCCATAGAAAACACCAGCACCTTTCAAGAGCAGCTTAGCCTAATACCCCAGGGCCACAGTCCAATAATTATTTTTTTATAGAGTCTAAGCCAATTATCCTCAAGGATATGTCACAACTGGATTTGACTTTTGTTGCTGATTTTCGACAGTTTTAATCACCTTTTTCTCTATCACCTCTATGTCTTGCAAGCGAAAGATTCTAAATAATTTTAATAGAAAACACATTTTAATATATTATTCTTTTCAATGCCAAGCTAAAATGCCAAAAAATCTTGCCTTTATTCCGAAATATGCCTACAAGTCACTTCTGGCTCACTGAAACTGAGATAAAATAATGCCAAAGTTGAAAAACTCAAACCTAATGAGGAGAAAAGGGAGAATCATGCAGTACATTACTCAGCAAGGCCACTTAACAAACCTAGAAATAGGAAAGTAAAATAACAATAACAATAGCTCCCTTATGTGACTGTCACAACAAATAAGGATGCTAATACATGTCAACAGCTTCAAATAGTGACACCATCACCATCATTTGCTATTGATATCTTTCTACCTTGGCTATTACTCATAGCTTCGTCTTAAACACTCTTTAAATGCATTACTTTCTTTATGGGAAATGCATTTGCCATGCTCTACTCCCACCCCTCAACATTCTTAATAAAGTAGCAAATGTTAGAAATGAAACAAAGACAGAATTGGAAGGTACACATCATGGGAAAGTTCTGGAACAACCTACATAGAAGGCAGATAATGAATAAAGGTTAACAAACATTAATAGCAGGCAGTAGAAAGAATCCACTAAAAAGTTAAATAAAGGATTTTCAACTAGACTAATGCTTCACACAGAAATTACACGGTTTTACTCCCAACACACTGCATAGTTAGGAGAAAGAAAAATTAGACAGTGGTGGTGGCCTTTGGCTGAGGGCTAGCATGACAGATTCTGAAGTGCAAAACAGATTATGATGGATGGCAGAAGTGAGATCAGAGCCAGACAGCTTTCAATCAAAGGAAAGAGAACAGTCTAAGAGGACAGGACAGATAGCTGAAGAACTGGTGTCTCCAGGAAAAGGAGTGTGCGTCCGGAAGACAGGCAGACACTACCCAGGAGCAGGTACTTGGTAGGACTGTGGCAGAACAATCAGTTCAACAGATACTGCGAGTGTTCTGCTAGCCAAGAATACGCTCGATACTGAAAATAAAAAGCATTAGTCGGTGCTCTTAAAGAATGAATAATTTAGTACAAATTTATATTCAAGAGAACATAGTAAATATTTTAGGATTTGCAGGCCTAAGGTCTCCATTGCAACTTTCTAGCTCTGTCGTCGTACTGCAGAAGCAGTCATTTAGACAGCATTAAATAAATGAACATGACCTTTCCCAATAAAACATATTTTATTAATTCTTGTAGGTTGAGTACACTCAAGATATTATTCTTATTTTGGTGTTTTAATCAGTTAAAAATATTTTGGAATGTGTTTTAATCCTAGCTTTCCATCCTTACGAAAACACGTGGCAGGCTCTATCCAGCCCACAAGCAGTCCTTTGCTAATCCATGATCTAGTGGGTAAGCCCAAAGAGTGGCTTATACTTACACATAATAAAACATTGCTCCTTCATATGTATTCTCAACAGCTATCTGGGGACTTCAAAAATGGACATACTCTTTAGCTCTCCGTCTCTTTTCAAAATGATAATATGTTTTATTATATCTAATATGCTAAAACTGATATTTTACTAAACATTTTGTAAAATTTTCAAACTTTATAAAAATATGTATGCTCAATCTTGTTAGTTCTGCTTTCTTGACTTCAAATCCTTACAACAAAATACAACACAATTCTTTCATGACACATGTATCATTTAGCTGCAGCTTAAGTACCTTAATCCAGTAGTCTGGAATCCAAAGCATGCTAAACCTAAAAATATACTAATATAATGCTCAGGAAATTGACAGTTTTGGAGCATTTTGAATTTGATTTTTTTGGATTAGGGGTGTTCAATTGGTAAAGTCTATAAAAGTATTCCTAAATCCAGAAATTTATCAAACCTGAAACATTTCTGACCCTAAGCATAATGGAAAGGGATGCTCAATTTGTGTTATGTCTTTAAAGTAATTTTATAAATAGCTAAACTTTTAAATATGTAAAAAGTATCAGTTAGAGGTAGAAATACATTATATACTGTATCAGCTATCTTCATAGCTTTTTTTGTTTATATGGTCTTATTTCATCATTTAATTTTGACAGCTTCTGAAAATGTAAAATAAGTGTTGAAAAATCAAAATGGATCTAACATCCACAGCTGTGGAAAACAGTAATTCAAAACACGAAAAGTTTTCAAGTGCAGTAGCCTCATGATGCTCATTCATTGCTGAAGCTGAGTGATGGCTTCATAGGAGAGTCCTGTATTAGTATATTCAATGTTTTCATAACAAAGGGGCCTTAGAACTCATTTCTGAGCTCAAAGCTATAGAATGACTGTTGAGGGAGACTGTGATGCCCATTAAATATCCCACCAGTGTACTGCCCAGCACAGAGAGGTTAGCTCATAAGCAGTTCTGTGCTTCATTGGGGTGGGGTGTGTTGGGGATTAGAAAAGGCTACGCAGAAGCAAAAGACAGTAAAAAGATGGAGGAATGTAATAGAACTTACTGATTTTCCCTTTTAACAGCTTTACATCTTTTTTTGTTTTTTTGTTTAAATCATATTATCCTTTTAAAGTGATTCTTAGCTGTTGACAGATCATTTTGAAAGCAGGTTTATGTGAGTTCCAAACAGACTAAAATTAGTATGTGGCAACATGCTGTGAAAAAAAACACATTTTAAATACAGTATCAATAACACTAACTTGAGGGTGGAAAATTTTAAGGGAAGAAGGTATCAGTTATTTCATTCCTTCAACAACACAGAGCATTAAGGAAAATACTGTTACTTAATACTTTAGCCATATTTATAATCCAGGCCAATATAAAACACAATTTTTTCCCTTTTACTCAACTTTTTCCAAGATTTCTTTTCCCCCCCCGAGATTTCTATAGTGAATAGGTAAGATCCATAGTTAGTGAAAAGAAAAAAGGAAGATTTTTGCAAATGCTATTAATATTGCTATAGTGGGTAACATTACCACAGCAGTTCTCACCCAAATTCTCATATAATGAATAATATACACTTCATATAACAAGGATATTTTGGTTTGCATTATATTACTTGGCATGGAAAAAAATAAAATAAAAATGAACGATAGCCAACCTGTGCTTTCCTCATGTACACCAAAGGCTCTTTAAGATGCTCGGGAGGGGCAGCAGGATGGCTAGGTAAAGGAAACCTAGGATCAAAAAAGAGGGGGGTAAATATTAATACTACTCCGGAGACCCATCCTATCAGATTGAAATGATCTACCTCTGTGGTCCCCATTATAAATGAAATAGCATATGTTTAGCAGTTCTTTGTGTTTACATATAGTATAAGAGACTAATAAAACATCAATTTATCTTCTATGAGCATTAAGCTCTAGGCTAAAGTTTTAATTATAAGATAAAATTAAACTGCTTGATAACCTGAATCCACAAGTTGAAGTAATTGAAGAAATTACTAATCTCTGTAAAAGATCACGTGAAAACCATCAGGCCAGTTAATTACATTGTATAAGTATTATAATGTTAAACAAATTTCAAGGTTAAAGAAATCTACTAACCTACCAATATAGCAACTCATTTCATTTCTCCCAATCTCCTTGCCTACAGGATTATATTTCTTTTATATCATTGAAATTATAATATAAGCACTAATTTTAGTACTGACCATGTTTTAATATGTAAGGCACAAATTCACAAATTTAACAAAATCTTCAAATTTTAACATATTATGAATTCTGTTCTCCAAATAACAGTACATTTTATATTAACACTAATTTTTAAAGAAAATAGATTTTTTCATCAACAACTATAAAGCCACTCTAGGTACTAAGTATATGCTGGCAATTAAGACAATCCTTTCCTGTTTTCATGGACCTAGTGAAAAAGTCAATTTATGAAAACAACCAAATAAACAGGATAACATCAGGTACTGGTAAGTGCCATGGGAAATGAATTTCAATGAACCTGAAGTAGCTTCAAGGGCAGTGATGACCTCCATAGGATCTCATCCGAACTAAGATAGAGCAAGAATAGGCCAACCAGGCCATAATCTGGGAGAACAAAAATGCAGAGAAGCACAAAACTCTGAGACAGAAACATCTGCAAAGTTTAAGAATAAGAGGAATTTATAATAGTTAGGACACAGTAATTGAAGTGTCAAGTGATGCGATGTCACAGAAAAAGCAAGAGAAAAATTTGACTTAGAAATTCTGACGTTTTACTAAAATATACAAGTCACAATGAAATTAGTCATAAGATTTGTACCTACATCTAAACAGCCATGTTTTAATAACCAAAAATCATTGAAGAAATTCCTGGTCCACAGTGAACTGTGGCATGCATCCATCCCAGGACCTAAGCGTAAAAGGCTCAAGTCTTCAGCAAGAAATGCTTTGGGAATGGAAGAAGGGAACGCATCTACTGTACAAGACAGTTTACCAATTAATGTAATCCTGGTAAATTATTTAACCACTGAAATACTTCCCCAGTCACAAATGAAACGAAGCTAACAATCTCTTAACATTTTATGATTTATCCTTATATGCATGGTAATCTAAAAATATTTACCATACACTGTACAATATGTCCCTTATGTATAAAGGAGCATGTGATTTACAAGTATTATTCCAAAAAGCCTTCTATTTCAATGACAACTATGTCTAAATTTAATCAAGTGAAAATTTAGGGTTAAAACTTGCGCCTTCTTCTTGCCTCCTGAGACATCCTAAATACAGCTTGTATTTTCTACTAACAGTAACCTATTTCAACACATCATTGCTCCTTGCTTGCATTCATCTAGCAGGTTCTTAAGCAGTTTCTTTTGCTTCCAACTATTTTCAATCTTTTTACAATTTTTCTTGGCTACTAGCCAGAAGCAATGACTCCCTTCCCCTCCCGTGATTGTATTTACAGTATTTAACATGCCTGGCTGCTATAGCCTGCATATAATTTTGTCTTCAGACTCACATAGGACTTCAAACCCCAAAAGTCCTAAGTTAATGATACTAAGTGGGTAAAAACTCAATGTAATTATGGGGTTTAGAAGTGGGTCTTTTAGCGAATGAATAGATGGATTTGGTCATTGGGGTGTGGAAGCCATCTCTGGTGGCTTCATAACAGACCACACAGACACAGATACACACATTCCCTGGCTTTTGTCATGTGATACTTAGCACCATCTTGGGATTCTGTCAGCGAGAACTCCATCAACAGATACAAACTGATGGGGCTGTCCGACCTTGAACTCAAACTCTTAAAGCTGAAGAGCCAAACAAACCTTTCCTTAGTTGCCCCAAGTCTCTCATTATAATAACTAATGTCATGAATACAGTGGAAAATAGCAAATAACCATTACCTTGTTAAATAAGGAAAATGTAAGTGTGACTACACTATTAAACGGCACTCAGGTACTTTACAGGCTTCAGTCTACAAAGCCTTGAATAAGAAGTAAATCTGGCAGTCAAGCCTGATTCTGTCCACTTCACACTCTGCCTTCATGCAAACCAGTGGAAGCTGCAGCCTAGTTGGGGCAACTCCCAATAACCCCCACCAGGCCTGCCCCTACTCTGCGTCCCATGCTTGCCAGTGTGCACCGCAGAATCAACCAGTCTGTCTCACATACCATTTAGTTCTTATACATATCACTGGGCATTAAAGCCTAGTTCAACCTAACCAGGCCCCAACCACACATGCTGGTGGGTGCCATTCTGTCTGGCCACCCCTGCCCCAGTCCTGGTTTTTAATGCTCTCACATGGGAGTGATAACCCCAGAGCAAAGTACCCACTATTTCCCTACTGGGCCACTCCTACTCCCAAATTATGCACTCTCCATGTGGTTTTGCAGCTTGACAAAATTAGCCCCCACATTGGTTCGTGTGGAAGACAGGACTGGAAACAGAACTGACGCAGCAATTACAACCACCACCATGTGCATAAGCCGATTGGGGTGATGAACTCTGCCACCTTGTACTGGCAAGCACAAACAAGAATCAAGTCTGGGGATAACCTCAAACGAAGTTTCTTTGAGGATCCCTCCAACTGAACTGCTGATGTCAGAACCCCAACCATGAAAAGACTATGTCAACCAGTGGATTCTGAAGAGATTTCATCATGCATGGAATGGTAAGATTAGCAGCAACTCAGAACTGTTGAACAATCAAAACTGCTTGAGCAGGACCCGCAGAGCATGCCTCACATTGAGGACCTGGGATGGGTGGGAGGCTGGGTGGAACTTCTCTCTTTATCTCTTCCCTTACCCCAGATACAGAAAAAAAATAATGTGGAAACAATGGTCTTACCCATGTTCCTGTAGCCCTTGACCCTCTGTGCCCTAATCAATTATGGAAAGATTATAAAGATAAAATAATTTTTTAAAGATTTCTTTTTATTATTTTTTTATTGGAAAGGCAGATATACAGAGAGGAGAGACAGAGAGGAAGATCTTCCGTCTGATGATTCACTCCCCAAGTGAGCGCAACAGCCAATACTATGCCGATCCGAAGCCAGGAGCCTCTTCCGGGTCTCCCACGTGGGCGCAGGGTTCCAAAGCTTTGGGCCGTCCTCGACTGCTTTCCCGGGCCACTGGCAGGGAGCTGGAAGGGAAGAGGGGCTGCCGGGATAGAACCGGCGCCCATATGGGATCCCGGGCGTGCAAGGCGAGGACCTTAACCACTTGCGCCACCGCGCCGGGAACAATAAAATAATTTTTTTAAAAAAAGAAGTAAATCTTTGCCTGCACATCTAGAATAATTTTTGCCATGCTCCTTCCAGAATCTGCCATCCATCCATCCATGGTTTTGCTTTCCATTGGGCTGCATCCCTTTCTACCTCTAAACCTTGGAGCTTGATGTTACTCTCTGCTCAACATCCTTTTCTTATCTGCTCCTTCCCCAGCAAACTCCAGTTTAGATTTCTGATCCAGTTTGAACAATGCTTGCTTTGCTAAGCTACCAGAACCCCCCAAATATTCAAGTGCCTGCTCCATGGGCTCTTTTACTTTGTCATCACAATACTATTGCACAGTACTATCATTTCTCCTTTAACGTCTATGTGCACCTCTGAGATGGAGAGCCATGAAAGTAAAGCCTAGCTAGTTGATTTATTACCATTAGTACCTTGCTCAGTGCACAAAGCTGAGCAAATATACAATATTAATGAAAACGAAGAGGACATAGAACTGTATGATTAGAAGCTGGAGTTACCCAAGTCAACTCCCAGTGAAAACTATGAATGTCGACAAAGATGCAAACTTATAATCTAGTGTAAGTCATCTATCATCTATATCTATATGATAAAATGACAATTAAAAAGGAAAGAAAAAAAACAAAAACACAAATGTGATATAAATAAGAGAGTACAGGGTTTTTTTTTTATATTTATTAAACAAATGTCTTTGAATTCATTGAAATGTTAACTAAAACAAATAAAAAAGTGAGTTGTGTTCAGCTTGACCTGCAGGGTTCAGGTATTCCATATCTCCACCAACCACAGTGCACGGGGTGATGTGTTTACTTCAATCATTTAATATTATCTACTGAATGTTCCTACTTGGCGCTTTCTTCGGTCATTAGACTGCTTCCAATAAAAAAGGCATGCACCAGGAAATGCTGAGGCAACTTTTCCCCCTTTTAATTTACCTTTGGATAAACACTTGTTCCCCACTCCCAGTGTATCCTTTCATGTAACAAGAGCTCCATTTACTTAACATTCTTGGTTTCTCTCCAGGACTTGTCTCATCTTACAACAGAAAAGGTTTAATGCTTGTCCAGTTTTTAAATTTGGAAAGAATAAACTGTACGTGATCACCCGGATTCAATGTTATTGGATCCACACTCACACTGACCCAAGACAATTTCATAGTTCAATTAAAGCACCCATTCTGCTCTTTAAAAAAAATAGCGATTATTTATTTATTTGAACAACATAGTCAGTGAGAATGAGAGAGAAAGAGAGAATCAGAGAGGAAGAGACCTTTCATTTTTCAAACAGTAGCAACAGCCAGAGTTGGGCTGGGTTGAAGCAGTAAGCTAGGAGGTCTCACACACAGGCAGTACTTGAGCAATGATACGATGCCTCCCCAGGTACATTAGCAAGAAGCTGGGTTGAAGGGATGGAAACCAGCACGACACTCCAATAAGGATGTGGCCATCTTTAGCTGAAGCTTGATCTACTAAACGTGTCCCTAACCTATGTCCTACTTAATTTTTATTAGTAGTAAAATGTCATTTTGACCTTTAATTTGCCTTTCTGCTTTATCTAATTTCTCACTTTGTTGAGCACCTAAGTGAAAAAAAAATGGTATTGGTGAAAACTGTATTTAATGTTCTAATGTATAGGAAAATGAAACAGTGCATGCCATCAGATAGTCACAGAACCATATATAGAAATGCACTGGATCACAAAAATAGCAATCAGTTTATACGACTTCAGTTTGCGGATCCCACACTGGGAATTACACACAACAGATATCTCTACTACATAATATAAATTTAAACGTTATTCCTCACAGCAAGTATCTCTTCCTACAGTGCCTACTATACCAACAGTAAAGTTGCAGTCAATCTCAATTAATAGATAGCACTTATATCTAATTATTTAAGAATTCAAAAACTTGCTAGAAAGACAGGAATAATAAAGGAAAAAGACATTAATTTAAAAACACATATCGGGCCTGGCATGATAACCTAGCAGCTTGTCCTCGCCTTGCACAGACAGGATCCCATATGGATGACAGTTCTAATCCCGGTGGCACTGCTTACCATCCAGCTCCTTGCTTGTGGCCTGGGAAAGTGTCAAGGACAGACGAAGGCCTTGGGACCCTGCATCGCGTGGGAGACTAGAAGAGGCTCCTGCCTCCTGCCTTCGGTTGATGCAGTTCTAGCCATTGTGGCCACTTGGGGAGTGAACCATTGGATGGAAGATCTTCCTCTCTATCTCTCCTCCTCTCTGTATATCTGATTTTCAAATAAAAATAAATAAATCTTTTTTAAAAATGTGTATCAAGCTGGTACTCCAACATGTTAGATCAAACCTCCGTCTGTGGCACCAACATCCTGCAAGTGTGTCAGTTCGTGTCCTGGGTACTCTACTTCTGATCCAGTTCCCTGTTTATGGCCTGAAAGCAGCGGGGGATGACATAAATCCTTGGGCTCTATAAGTACATGACAGACTCAGAAGAAGCTCCCAGTTCCCAGCTGGAATTGATCAATCCTGGCTGTTGTGGCCATTTGGGCCTCTACTTCTTTCTGAAACTCTGCTTCTCAGATAAAAATAAATCTATTTTTTAAAAATGTATACTTAATTATATCAGAAACAGTAAGTGGGGTTATCTCATTTCCCACTAATGACAGAATAGAAGAGGTAAATTGTCTGAGGGGGGAGTAGAGTTAGAATTGCAGAGAATGCTAGAAACACAAAGATAAAAATAAGAAAACACACACGCACACAAGCAGACATAAAAACTCTATTAGACTAGGAACTTCATAAAGGCAAAATTTGTGTTTGTATCTCTCTAGTATCCAGAAGAGTTCTGGCATAGGTAGGTACTATATAAATACATGATGAGTAACAATACTGCACAAAGTACAAAAACTAAGCATTTAGTAGGCAAATTCCAACAATAGTTCTATACACTTTAACAGACTTACAATAAATCTAAATCAATAAATTATTAATAAATGTTTTACTAATAAATTATTTAAAATGTTTGTTTAGTCACTGGCTTTACTTTGCAAAAAAAAGGTTTAAAATGGTCCATTTATAAATATAGAAATAGTTACTTAATACAAATATCTTTTTCCCTAATTATATTAGATGACTGAAGAGTTAATATAAAATTTCTGATAATAAAAATCCAGCTACTTTTAATTCATAGCCAGGGCTATAGTAATTTAAGATTTGTAAGACTGTCCCTCTCCTGCAGGAATGAACATTTCTTGCCTGGCACTGGCCTCTGCAATGAGCCTCCCCCAGGTCCCTGCCACTCCCCAGCCCATGGTAGCCCCTTCCAGGTTATAAACATCTTTGTAGAATCTGATGGGAAGGGCAAATGCAAGCTGAATACAGCCAGGCTAACATCTCTGAGTTGATGGCCTTGTAGAACACTGGCAAATATGCCAAGTGATTGTGCCCATGAATCATGTCTGCTACTTAACGGTATGCACTCTGCCAGTGGGTGGATTACTTCCTCACCGACCAACCAGTTGGCTGCCTTGAGCCATTAGTAAAAGAAACCATGTTGCTCCCAATCACTTCCAACTGGCTTCTTTGGAACGTAGGAACATCATGTGCTAGTCTCTTAGACTTTCAGACCCCATACCACATTCACAGAGCAATATCGATCACAAACTTTACAAAGTAAATAAAACTAAATAAAACAGTATCTTAAAATATGTGGGAATAACTCACACACTCAGTTCACTATAAACCGCATTTTGAAGTTTCTTCTCCCAACCTATTAAGAAGAAATGACCATTAGTTTTTTTTTTAATAAACATACGTTAAAATGTATATGACAAACACTTTAGCATCATCTTCACTGGTGAAAGAAATTTGTCATTTGCCAGTCGTGCTGTAAAGTATCATACAACTGCTTCCTCCCTACTTACTGCATCCCTTGGCTAACCTGAGCAGCAAGGACATTGACGGATACTACTTTTAGAGTAAAATTATGGTGCCATTTTCTCAAGTTGGAGGAACATTTCCTTCCTTCTCTATTAAGTTGGGTGTTGCACCATTAATCAACACCTGAATGTGGCTCTGCCTCCCTTTGCATGGACACCAGACAACCCCACTGAGAATTCTGTAATCTATTTAGGCATTGCCTGCCTCTGCGGAGTTACTGTTAAACGTCAATAGGAACTTAGAAGCTAATGTTGCTAGTGCCGTTTTTAGCCAAAGAGCTATTATCGCTGTTAGGGCTGCATCCTGTGGCAATATGTTAATCAAGAGTGTTAACTCCCCCTTTTGATCCTATGCTAATCAAGGGTACTAACTCCCCTTTTGATCCTATGCTAATCAAGGGAGTTCTGCCTTCAGGTGTAGTGGGAATCTATTCTTTCCTTCTTCTTTGATCTTTTAGGCCCCTTCCTCCCTTGACTATCTCAAGACCAATTGTGGTAGGAATGTGCTACTGACTGATATGCATCATCTGTTGAAAACCTTTTCCTAGCCAGGCTCCAGATGCCAGATGAACAGCAACCTAGCCTTAGGTGAAACAAATGGCAGAGTTATCTTTAGAAACCCCCGCTTGAGCGTGACGTAAAAAGCCTGAGCCAGAGTTTGACTGATTTTGTATAAATAAAGCGGACAGCTTTTGTGCGTGGTCCACGATGGTCAAGAGTTTCTAGTGGTCCGTCTCTTTCTTTGCGCCTCATTCACGCACCCTTCGCGAGCTCCGAACTCAGCTGGAGCTGGACTCCGGCAAGTGGCGCCTGAACAGGGACTCGACGAAGGTAGGTCTTTTCTTTCTCTTTGCGGCGTGGATAGGACTTCACCCAGGGTGCTGCAGGCCCCCTGACAGAAGGTCAGGTTAGGAGGGGTGAATAGTCAGAACTTATATTGAGAAGTTGTGTACCCTCTGTGCTGTAAAAATGGGCCAGAGCGATTCTAGTGAAAGAAGTTTATATGCTGATATTATTAAACATACCTTACATAGGAAGGGCATTAAAGTTAGCAAGAAGCAATTATTAGAATTTTTACAATTTGTACAAAAAGTTAGCCCATGGTTTATTGAGCAGGGCACTTTAGAATTAAACACATGGGACCAGGTAGGGAATGATATGAAAAGGTGGTATCGGAGTAATGGACGAGTGGGCATGCCATCCTCTGCATATGCCATTTGGAATGTTTTACGGCAGGCACTAGATGTGGGACCTGAGCCTTATCCCGCGCCTTCAGCTCAGCAGGGAGAACATACTCCCCTTCTTGATCCTCAGAAGGGAAGCTTAGGCCTTAGTTATAGCTCAATGGAAAGTGTCTGTCCTGAAGATAATGTAAAATATTGTAAAACTGATCATGGAAGTTTAACAGATGAGGAAGAAGATTTTTTAAAACCAGAAATATTTAGATCAGGAGTTAGAGATTGTGAAAAGGGGCAAATGGCTGAGTTACATGATAATAGGTCTCCTGCTGTTGATGATAAGCCTTCAAGGTATTCTGCTAAGCCTTGTGAGCCCCTTCCACCTAGACCAGATCCAGCAAAGATTGGCTTTAATGGGGCAATGCAGCAGGCACATAAGGAAGGTGATTTTTTCTGTTTTCCTGTTGTCTATGAATGCGATGAACCTGAATGGGAACCGTTGCCTCATAAGCTTATTAAAGAACTAAAGCATGCTGTCTCTGACTACGGGCCAAACTCCCCGTACACTATGGCAATAGTGGAGAGCCTAGCAGCAAAGTGGATGACTCCTTATGATTGGTTTCAGGTTGCTAAGGCTTGCCTCACTGGCGGAAACTTCCTTTTGTGGAAAATGGAATATGAGGAATTAGCTAAAGCAGAAGTAAAGTCTCAGAGATCTGTGAGGCATGGCAAACTTTCTTTTACCTTAGACATGCTTTTAGGACAGGGCACTCATCTTGGCGTTTCAGAACAACTTACTCTGCCTAAGGAGACATTACAGCTTATCTCCTCCCTGGCAATGGGAGCGTGGAGACGCCTGCCATCTCCAGATCAAAAGTCTCCAGGTTTTGTAAATGTTAAGCAGAAGCCTGAGGAGCCTTTTGCAGATTTTGTAGCTAGACTCACCGAGGCCGTGAGCCGGACAGTAATTAACAATACAGCTACAGATCTCATAGTTAAACAGCTAGCTTTTGAGAATGCTACTCCAACTTGCCAAACCTTAATTCAGCCAGTGAGAAGGACAGGAGATTTGTCAGACTATGTTCGAGCTTGTGCTGAGGTAACTCCATCTTACATGCAAGCGTTAACGATCCCTGCAGCTCTTCAAGGTCAAACTGCTACTCAGATTTTAAAGAACATAAGAGGCAATCAAAGAAATAGAAAAAGAAACAATTGCTATTCTTGTGGTGGAGTAGGGCATTTCAGCCACAGCTGTCCTGCCAGAAACTCATCCCAAAATTTCAAACAGGAAAAAACTTATAGGGACACTCCTAAATCCAATTTAAATATTCCTCGCACTGTCTGTCCACGGTGTGAGAAGGGATTTCATTGGCAAAAGGCTTGTCAGTCTAAATTCCACAAGAATGGGACAGTTCTATTGCCTCGCAGTCGATCTAAATTGAGTAAACAGTCTGTACAGGATGAGATGCAGGGAAACGAGAGATGGGCCCTGTCCTGGGCCCCCCAAGTAATGAGGACATGTATGGATATTGTCTCTGAAAGATATAAAACTAAAATGATGAGTGCTGCATTAAGCAATGGTTTAAAGCAAAATAGATCTAAATGTCATAATTGTGGCAAATTGGGACATACATGGAAAGAATGTAGGAAATCAAATACCCAAAAGGGAATCTGGTTATCTAAAAGCCTGTGGTAACATGGGGACTTTCAAACACCCTACTCACCTTGCAAGGTTTCAAACCACTGCTATTCAGAAGCAAATGAATGCTAAGTGTTCTAACTGTGGGAAACCTAGCCACCTCCCAAAACAATGCAGAGCAGCATCTCTTTTAGCTCAAAAATGTGGCACTAATACTGTTAAGGATCAATGCCCTAAGATAAATTCTAAATGTCACAGAGGTGTACATTGGGCAAAAGTATGTAAATGTAAATCTAAAATTGATCATGATGGCCAGCGCCTGTTGTCAGGAAACTCCTGGTGGGGCCGGTCTCAGGCCCTAAACAATCAGAGGTTTAAAAGACAGCAATATTTTACCCATGCTGTGCCTATAGAAGAGTAACAGACTTAAAACCTGATATTGATTATGGAAATGCTAATTAAAAGTTGGTATCTTCCTTGGCAATTAATTATACTACCTACTGTTCATACCCCAACTGGATGCTTGTGACAACAAGGGTCTTTAGAGTGGCTGCATCTCCTTTCCATGTATAAAAAGGTTATTACTCCTTATTGTGCTTTGGTCTCCACCTTAATTATTAAGAGATATCATAGGAATAGGAGCCTTTTTGCAAAGATGTAAATTAAATAATTATTCCTTATAGCTCTTAACAGCTTAGTTATCTAATATCCAAGGATGAGACATGACAAATAGCATTCTTAACCCTTGTGGGTACAATTTCATACCATTTAACTAAAAATCTCCTTGTTAAAAGTCATCCGGTTATATTTCAAAAGATTTGTTCCTTAACTCCTTTGTTTTTAACCCTTTTTTGTTTCCTTAACCTGCTTCTTTAGTCTTTACAGATGGGTCATCTAACAAAATAGTTTCTCTAATCATAGATTTTGAAAATATCCTTACTGACCAATGGAAAGAACCCAATTTCCTCTTAAAATTTGGAGGAGGGAATGCTTTCATTTTTCCACAGGTCACGGACTTGCTGATGTGGATTCCAGATCGACTGATTAGGCATCCTTGCCCAATTTACATTTTGCAGCGGCAAGCATCCTCTACTGAAGTTCCTCCTCCTGTCCAGCAACTTCAGGGTTAAACTCTCTTCTCTCCAGCAGGTACAATCACTCCCTGACCTCCTCCCCCTCCTCTCTGTTAGGATACTCAGCCCACAGATGCAGTTTCTCCAGGACCTTTTACTTTTTTTTCCTTTGTCAAGCCTACCACCTCCAACCTTTTTTAGCCAAAAACAGCAGGGTAGGAGATAAACTAACCTGGGTCCACAGAAAAATATCTAACATCTTGTACTTTATAAATAATGTTTTCTCATAATTAACATCTCTTTTTTAACTCTATTGAATCTTTATATTGAATTTTTGAATTTTATGAATATAACTCTTAAGGTATTGTTTAAGACATTCCTTTAAAAGTGTAACATTTACACCAAACATAAATTGGAATCAAAGTAACATCTAATCCATTGTTAAATTTTTTTCCAGGTATGGGATGCACCCATGCTTTTATCTGCTAGTCTTTATATTTAAATATATCGACTTTAAAATACTGTTTGCAGCGTTTTCTAAAATGTTCATTATTGCTTCATGGAATTAAAGTCTGATCCTCTGTTATTACAACAAAGTTTTGAAAGCACATATTATTATAACATCTCCTCTTAATTGTTTTTATCTAATTAATGATTACCTCCTTCTAGTTAGCTCCAGTGAACTCCAGACCTGACTGTGTTGAAGTGTCTCAGCATATAAGATTCTATGTTGAAGTGATCTTTGTGTTTTCTGCCTTTCAGTATGTTCACATTGCTTCAGATTGATAAAAGTTATGTACTTATTTTATAGGTATTTAAAGTGATCACTTAATGCCAATAATTACATCTCATCTATATTGTGTTTTATGAAGAGATTCTATTTCAACTAGATGTTATAAATCTTGACATCCCTTATGCATTTTAAAAATTCAAAAGTTTTACTTAGTAGATACAACTGAGTAGGTATTTGGATTGTATTAAAGATACTGTCAGATGCCAAGTGGGGTAAAATTTTGTCATCAATATATACTACAAAAAAATTTTTTTTTATTTACAGAAGTCTAATTCAAATTTTTGTATTTCCAAAAGTTCCAGGACAGGTAATGCTTAACAACAAAAAGCCAGATAAGGATAAATGTTTACAGTTTTGCAAATATGTCTAGGCTGTTGACTGCATATCTCTTGGGTTAATTTATATTGCTAAGATAACTAAAATCAGGGTCTTCGATAATGACCAATTTTTTTTCCTCTCAGGTTTCAATTCAGACCGAGTTATCATTGTTGACTTTTCTGCTTACTAATTTTTTAATAAGTACTGCTATCACCAAGCTTGGTTTATAAAGTCACCTCAGTAAATCCTAAATGTATCTGACATGATCTGTCGTGCATTTTGTAACATTTTGGAGGCCTCAGTCAGAGGGTAGTAGCCATCCTGTGTTCTGGAGCCTGGCTTGGTAGTCTGGGGAGGCCACCGTGATGCTTGACACGGCCCCACTGCCAGTCCTGGCTTCCTGGCTCGCAGGATTTGTGCTGACCTCTGCCTATATACAGTTACATCATCATCCAAATTTGCTTGTTTTGAGTACTCATCCTCATCTGGGACTCAAGAGGGCTGGATACAACACAACTTCTTGAGTCAGGGTCCATATGAGACCCTCATTAGCTATTTAAAATTGAATGAGTGTGGTGGCCACCTATGTCTGTCTTGCTGTATGTCTTTTTGTTAAAATTGTTTGAAATTATACTCTTACAGTCCTCTATAGTTAAGAAAAAAAAAAAAAAAGGGAGTGAATGTGTGTGTGTTTTACTGTTTGGTCTCAATGTTCCTTGAGATCAGATGAGAAACCATCTGAATAACCATGCAAACTTATTATACTACAAACAACAGGTTATTCTAACCAATTTATAATTTCAAAATGTCTAAGATCTTAGATCATTACTGAAACTATTTTATTGCTTTTTCCTAAATTAAGGTTGCTTTTGGCTCACATAATTTAAGCCTCAGACTGTCATTGAAAATGTTTTAAGTCATCCATACGTTTGTGCTCAAGTTAACTTAATAACCAGGTTACTCATGGTATATTCTCACTGCCTTTTCAATGTGCTATTTAAACCAGTATCTTTATTTTAAATTTATTATTTAATAGTTTTCACCTGATGTTGTTACTAAGAGTGATTAGCTTTCTCTTCACTTCTCTTCTACTTCCTCTCTGAAACTCCAAAAGGCCTCTCAGAATATACAGGTAGATCTCCAGAATTTACATAGGTATGGCTAACTTATAAACCTGACATCCCAAAGACTGCCTTTACAGCCCAATTTCCTAGAGGCCCAGAGGAAGAGTAGTGACCTAGGTCCCAGGAGGAACCCTGGTGCTGTCTCTCCTTCTTGCTTCCCTCTGGCCAAAACAACAGAAAGAGTTCCACTAGCCTCAGTGCTACCCTTGCTGAGGTCAATGGACACTTCCACCTGGAACTGTTTTAAAGGCCAAGTATGCGCAGAAGATCAACACCTGCCATGAGGACACGTCACATGTACATCTGCTGACCACCCTCAGCCACCGAAGACATCCCCGCGCAGGACTCAAGCTACTTCCAAAAGGACTGCTGATAAGTAACATTCCTCCCTTACAAGATGGAGCCTTAAGCTCCCTCTCGCTTTTCTGAGATGGCTCTGTATACACTGTAACTTGTACTAAGTGTGTTGTCACTAATTGTCTTAATTCTAACCTTATGCCTGGTACTTTTGGTGTCTTGAGAAGGTCCTTATATGTAATGTTAACTGTAAATTTGACTGAACCATGGTATGATGCTGATCTTTATGCTTTGGAATTGTTTTCAACAACTTTGTCCATGCTTTGTGGTTTATATTTGGGCCTGACTGCATTTGTTACCCTTACTGGACCTCTTACAGCTGGTGCAATAAGTTCATAGGAAAGTGTTGATAGATTTAGAGGTCAAGATTGGTGCATTAGAAGAAGCAGATATTTATATTGGCAATGAAATTCAACACTTAAAAACCAGATTTGGTACCACTTGCCATAGTATTTACAAATGGATTTGTGTCACTCCCCTTCCTTATAATGACTTGCATGTCCCTTGGAGTAATGTTAAGACTCATCTCCAAGGTGTATGGAATGACACATCCACTAGCCTTAGCATTCAGGAATTACATGCCTAGATTTCTGCCATCTCTCACTCTCACCTTCAGGCTCTCTCTGCAGGAGGCGTTACTAACCATTTCTTGCAATCTCTTTCATCTTTTATTTCCGATAAGACCTCCTACTCATTTTTTATAAATTTGGGGATCACACTAATTATTCTCCTTTTTGTATTGTTTTTTGGCCCAGTCATCTTCCAACGTTTAAGCTCCACAATTCAAGCCACTCGCAGAGAACTCCGCACCCTCCAACTTAATAATAGGAAAGGGGGAGATGCTGGAGTCCGTGTGATGGGGGTGGAAGACAGGAAGGTGTGAAGAGCGTGGCTCCATTGCAGGCAAGGTTGCAAGGAACTTCCCGCTGTGTGGCAAGGCCTGGCGGATGTCTCTACAACACCTGAATGTGGCTCTGCCTCCCTTTGCATGGACACCAGACAACCCCACTGAGAATTCTGTAATCTATTTAGGCATTGCCTGCCTCTGCGGAGTTACTGTTAAACGTCAATAGGAACTTAGAAGCTAATGTTGCTAGTGCCGTTTTTAGCCAAAGAGCTATTATCGCTGTTAGGGCTGCGTCCTGTGGCAATATGTTAATCAAGAGTGTTAACTCCCCCTTTTGATCCTATGCTAATCAAGGGTACTAACTCCCCTTTTGATCCTATGCTAATCAAGGGAGTTCTGCCTTCAGGTGTAGTGGGAATCTATTCTTTCCTTCTTCTTTGATCTTTTAGGCCCCTTCCTCCCTTGACTATCTCAAGACCAATTGTGGTAGGAATGTGCTACTGACTGATATGCATCATCTGTTGAAAACCTTTTCCTAGCCAGGCTCCAGATGCCAGATGAACAGCAACCTAGCCTTAGGTGAAACAAATGGCAGAGTAATTAATGCTATGAGAATATGTACCAAGGGAACGGCAAGAAACAGTCATCTGACAAGGACAGACGAAAGTAATTAGTTACAACGACCAGTGAGAAGAGCATTGAACAACGGAAGCAACTATCATGAGTAACCACCAGGCTGACCAGTCGGCTCAGGTGTTGAGTCACTGATTTTACTTGGGCTACCATTTAATGTCTTGGGTCCCAATTGCAGAGGTTGGAATGGGGAACTGTTCTTCTCGCTCTTGAAAGACAAAAATAGGACTTTCTTTCTGGTTTATTTTTGAAAAAAATAGAAAGGAGGTAGACAAAAAGTGGAAGAAAAAGAGCTAAAAGAGAAAATAAAAGGACAAGTTACACAAATAAGGAGATACTGAATACTTGAAGCTGTATACTGAACTTAAAGATAACAGTATTGAAGATTAATGCAGATGCCTCATTCCTATAGTGTTTCTGAATGCTTGCGTCATTTTACTGGGATATCTGCTAGTTCCAGTGTTCCCCACATAGAAACTTACTCAACTACAGTTCTCACAATCCTGAAAGAGTAACTGAAGGGCTGGAATAAGACATTGTTTTGCCTTAAGATCCTAGGAATAAAAGATATCCTTATTTTTGCCATAAGGAATTAGAGAGAAAAATACAAACCTGATATTTTAAAGAATTCCTTAATATCTTCTTTTAGTGATTCAAGTTTAATCTCAGGTCTCTGAAGACAGGCCTAATTAAAAAAAAAAAGAAAAGAAAGGAAAAAAAGAGGTCAAAAAATCATTTGGGTTGATATATAATGCTAATGAAATTTTTTCAAAGGAGTATCCAAGTGCACTCCTGTGAGGACAGACAGCATTATTTGAATTATCCAGAACAGAACCATAAAAGAGAATTTCCACCTATTCTTAAAATACAGGATTTGTGATTAAACACTGAGACGTGCTAAAAATACAAGAGCTTGTAGTTTATGACTGCTTTACATTTTTATGTGAGGTTGTAAGTATAAAAGATATTCAGCTTTTATAACTCTGCTACTATAATAGCATATTTAGCATAAATAGCATATATACTTAATACATCACAGTCTAAATTTCTCAACAGGGCATGTGTGGACTTTCACAATATGCACCAACTCATCTTTACAGATTTGTGTTCTGCTGCTCCACCCAGCAAACACCACCCTGTTTTCTCGCACCACCTCCTCACACAACCCAATTGTCTAGTCACAATGAATTAAATTCACTGATTTTAGGCTCCACACTTGTGTTCACGTTGTTTCCGCAAATGGAAGTACTCACTAGCAAACATTAGCTTCCCAAAAGCCCTCAAATATCACCTCCTTTCCCAATGTTCCTGGCAAAGAGAGAGCACCATATCCCTGCCTTATAACACTTAGTAGATTGCAATGTGATTTTTAGCTCACCTACTTATCTTTCTGAGTAAAATGTAAACTCAAGCACAAGGACATTTTTGCATCTCAAGTATTACCCTGGCATTAACTATTCCTCAACAAAAATTTATTTGGCAAACAATGTCCTTTTCTTTTAAACAACTTCCAGAATAAATAAAAAACACTTGATAGCAATCAACTTGAATGGAAGAAGCCAGTTTCCAGATCTGTAGACCTGCAAAAATGATTCACTATTCAAAGCACCAGTCTGGGATCCAAGATGGCTGAGTAGGGCATAGTCACCCTAACTTCAGCTACCGTGGAATGAAAAGAATAAAAGAAGGGCCACTTTTCCAGGGATCTGACTGATGTAAGTTTTCATTGAATAAGTGAAGAACAGTGAAAAGTGTGTGTATCAAAAACAGAGAAGATGGAGACATTGCTGCAGGCAGCATGGTGCAGCGAATTGCAATCATACTATTGTTCCACAGTCAAGGTGGCACACACCTCTCTGTCCCACCACTTGCAGTTCCAGCCAGGAAAAACTCCCACAGCCACCTATGGACTTCTATCTCACTGTGGGGGTTCACTGGTTTGGAAAAGGACAAACTAGGTTTGGAGGAGGCAAGCTGTCTTAATTTAATCCCATCCTTCCCTCTGAGAAGCACCATACTCAGCAGTGAAAAGTTGGGCTGTTCTCATCTGATCCACCCCTACAAGTGTGAGAATCAGTATCAGACAGTGACTGTAACAGTCCCTGGCTTTGGTGATATTGCCTGATCTTGCAGCACACATGGACTTCAAGTCCAGCCCCAAACAGTAATGTGGGACCAGGTGCCAACATAACCCCATGAACTCAGCACACACTCTCCATCCCACCCAGACTGGGCCTAGGGAAATAAAAAGAAGGAAGCTCTATCTTAAGGCAAGGGAAGGCCATCGCAGTTCTTGTAACTGTAACTAGGGATTTCTCTCTGCAGGGTAATTCAAAGCACAGCACTGAACTGGAGTGGCCTGCAGGACTGGTAGGGAAAGGGACATCTACTTAAGCTTGTGAGGCACTCTCCTCCCCCTTTACATCACTGGCATCTGTACTAGAACTGCTAAAGAAAAGCATTAACAAGCACCTGAATCTGGGACTATATGGCTCTCCCTGTTGCCACTTCTGTCTCACTAGGCTAAGAGTAGATCTCCTGGCCTCTGGGTCTTAGGGAACCCTGCATGCTATGTCTGCGGGAATTCTGTAACCACACAACAAGTCATGAAGTGTAGCTAGATCTCCAAGCAATCCCTGTGTCTATGTTTGGCTTAAGAGGCTTGGGACTTCCTGGAGACTTGGGGTAGGCCATTGCAGAGGGTTCTGTGATCATACGGAGGACTGGGAAGATCATTTGGTTGCTCTTGTGACTGTGTGAGTGGGGTGTGCTGCCATTGTAGGCTCTCTGAGCAGTGATTGCCTTGACAATGAAGAGGTAAGAAAAAGTGATCGCAAAATGGAAGAGATAATACCGTCCCAGTTGTTGACAAGAGAGAAACAGGAAGAACAAATTAGCAAAACTGAAAACAGGCAAATAAGGCTACTATACAAAGAGGTTAAGAAAAAATACACTTAAAACCTTGACTGTTAGAGACTAGCTATGGGCTGTCAGTTTGGAAGAGCTGCAAGCACAAAATACAAGAGGAGTTCACATTAATTTGCATGCTTGCTTGCAGAAGTCTCCACCAGGTGCGCACAAAAACAATTGGAGGAAGACAGGAAGCTGCTGACAGATCACCCTTTTGAAGCACAGGGATGCAAGAAGGGATAAGCAGCCAATGCAGGAAAAGTATAAAGGACATTCTGAGATCACAGCTAAGGTCTTCTGCCGCAGGGTAAAGGTCTTAACCACTGTGAGAGGGTGCATAAAGCCTCCCATTCAAAACACAAAGAAGCAATTCAATGCTTCTTAAGGCATGATATTTACAATGTTTTCTGACTCACAAATACATAAAAATTGTCTGGGGCCCAGGATTCTGCGCCAACACAAAGCAAAAGGTAGCCTAACCACGGGAGAAGAGCAAATATACCTCCATTACCAGTACCTGCCAAAGATACAAGACAGCATTTGAACACCAAAAGGAGAAGGGGAAGGAACTGTCAAGAAAGGCACATGACACTGCAGGAATAGACAATGATAGGGAGTCCAGGATCCTATTGTCAAGATGCCTTTAACAGTTTTGTTGGGAGTCCATCTTTTCTTCAGTAGAGATGCATACTGCAAGGTAACTTCCCTTGCCAATATGATAAGTCTCATGTATACAGTACCTCTAGATGAATATGTGTATATGCATGTTTACCAAATATCTATTAATCTTGTATTTTGAGTGAAGGTTGCCTTATATCAACAAGAACACAAGGTGATGGACTACCTACCATTATCTATACCTATAATGTGACAATATATTTAAATAGAAGAATGATGGACTTGTGACTGTTGCTGAAGGATCACACTATTAAAATAATGTAGGGGGAAATAAAAACACAATGTATTATAAAAATGTAGGGGGTGGGGATGTTAAATGTAGAAAGTTGAAGGAGAAATCTATAAGTCAAGGAACTTTATCATAAAAATAAAAATTGAAAAAAAGAAAGGCACATATCTGAGAAAGCAAATAGAAAATTCATATACCCAACATGAACCTAAGACCAGTTAACAATACACTACTGCTATAAAAGGGACAAGAGCATGCAAAGAGATCTGCTTGTAAAGAACAAGTAAGCAGGGTCTGGCACAATAGTGTAGCAGGTAAGGTCCTCGCCTTGGGTGCTCCGAGATCCCATATGGGCGCTGGTTCTAATCCCAGCAGCCCCCACTTCCCATCCAGTTCCTTGCTTGTGATCTGGGAAAGCAGCTGAGGATGGCACAAAGCCTTGGGACCCTGCACCCACATGGGAGACCCAGAAGGGAGTTCCTGGCTCTTGGCTTCGGATTGGCACAGCATCAGCATCAGCCATTGAAGTCACTTGGGGAGTAAATCATCAGACGGAAGATCTTCCTCTCTGTCTCTCCTCCTCTCTGTATATCTGGCTTTCCAATAAAAATAAATAAATCTTTTTTAAAAAATAAAGAACAATCCCATAATGTTGTAAATTGATGTTGATGTTATGTTGTGGCTTTTAATTGATTGGGATGATATTCTGCCAGCTCTGCTTTCAGACCAGAGCTGGTCTCCGCAAGAAACCGTTGAATTTATCTGGACAAAAAGATGCTGGACTCTATGCTTGCAATGACTTGCAAGAATCTTGACTGAATTTGAACTGTAAATACTACAATAAGGTGGAGGAATCCACCATGGAGGGAGGGGATGGGGAGGGGTTGGGGGAATCCCAGAGCCTATGAGACAGTGTCACATAATGCAATGTAATCCATAAAAAATATTTAAAAAAATAAAGAACAAGCAATCAGAAACTGTCAGAAGCTGAGATCAGAATCACTGAGAAAAACTCTCCAGGATGGCAATCCCTACTTTAGGAGCAAAGTAAGAGCAAAAGCTACCACTACAGAATGTAATGAATGAATATAATGTAATGAATGCAATAGTAAATCCAAAATCTGGCCTGCTCTATGACAGTGGTGATACACTCTCCACACTCAGCAAGGATACAGGATGCTGAACAAAACCACAACCTGCAGAACCTAACTGCAACTTAAAGAATCACAGCATCAGAGGACCTTGCTTGTCAAGTACACCTGGAACACTCATCAGTAAGAGAGCAGTCTGGACCATAAAAGAATACAATCCCTTAAGAGAACTTAAATAATGGACAATACATGCTTCACCACGGTCGAACTGAACTAGACATTAATCAGAGAAGAGATCTGCAACATCTTCTAAAAGTCAGTAACTAAATAGCACATTTAGAAACAACTCATAGGAAACTTTTTGAATGAAAATACAAAAGGTCTTCAAAAAAATTCCCAGAAATGTACATTATGAAAAAAAATTGCATGATTTTCACATTTCTGCAACAAAATAAGCTTATTTTAGTTCCATTTTCTACAAATAGTTGAAGTATCCCTGTAGAACATAATTCATGAGGAATAGCTAAAACAGTACATGGATGAAAATTTATAGCATCTGTTACAAGAGGAAAACAAAGGTCTCAAGTCAGTAATCTAAAGTTATACCTAAATGCTTAAAAAATGAAAGTTAAAATCAAAACAAGAAGGAAAATTAAGAAAAAACTCATAGAGCTTAAGAACAGAAAAACAAAGAAAATAAGAAACAGTTCTTTGAAAAGATTTTAAAAAATGGTAGTTTTCTATCCAGACTAGTTAACAAAATATAAATAAATGCTG